TCTTCCGCATCGAACGCAAGGGCGAATTCGAGCGGTTTGACAAGAGCAAGTTCTCCAAGGTTTCAAGCAACCGCCGTCTCTTATGGCACGGTTCCCGCGTCACCAACTGTAAGTACCTCTCCTCCATTAACGCTTTGCGAAACAACCACTGACCAAGTATGCACCTGCAGTCGGTGGAATCCTCAGCCAAGGTCTCCGCATTGCACCCCCTGAAGCCCCCGTATCAGGCTACATGTTCGGCAAAGGTATCTACCTCGCCGACATGTCTTCCAAATCCGCAAACTACTGCGCGGCGTACAACTCTGGAGGCACTGCGCTGCTCCTCCTTTGCGAGGCTGAGTTGGGCAACCCGATGCATGAGCTCACCAATTCCTCGTACACTGCTGGTGAAGATGCGATCAAAAATGGCAAGTATAGTACGTGGGGAAGGGGCTCGACGGGTCCCAGTAAGTGGAAGGATGCAAGCTGCATCAATCCCGCGCTGAAGGGATGTTCCATGGTAAGTTTGACGCTTTTTCTGCCTTTTTTTTTCTAGATCCCCCGGAAAACTGACGAGTTGAATAGCCCGATGTATCGACTCCGCCTGGTAAGACGAACGTGTCTGGAGCGTACTTGTTGTACAATGAGTACATTGCGTATGATGTTGCGCAGGTTAAGCTGCGGTACTTGCTTCGTGTCCGCATGTAAACTTTGACTTTTACATTTCCCAACCTGGTATCTCGTTTTACGACATCTTTCTTCTGCTATGCCAAAGGTGTTGAGTGTGGATTAGGCGTTTCTGGTCTAAAAAAAGGGGGGGCATACCTCTTCCCTTTTTAGTTTTTAATGACGAATTGAAGCAAATGAAAACATCGGCATAAGTGTATTCGTTCAGTCAAGTACGTAAATTGGCTTTGGGGGGCCCGGTATAAACATAAAGTAATCGTCAAACGCCCATGCGAAGCATCGTATCTCAAAAAAGGTTGCAAACACACAAACACTCGTCTACTCGCGTCCGCCAACGCGCCTCTCATAGTCATCAGCAAGTCGAGATGCATCCACGACCTCGACGCCTTTACCCAGACCCACCATGTCGGTGACCTGCCACCACCTGACGGTGTGCTCGTTCTCCTTGCCCTTGCGCAGCGGGCCTTCATCATCCGTATCGACCAGGCCACCCAACCCCGTGCCATCGCCCCCAACAACGACAATCGTCTGGCCAACCCACTTCCTTACATCCTCAATGTTCTGGCCATTGACGCCGCTCAGCGCATCAACAACGTACACGAGATCCGGGCCAATGTGGCGCAGCATGTGCACGAAGCCCGTTGGGGTGCTAAACGGCATGACCATTGCGGGGTCCTCGACAAGGCGCAGGGCCTGCGGGTGCAGCGTGTTCCAGAGTGCGGCGTCGGAGTCGCGGGTGCTGGGGGCAGGGGTGTACACAATGGGGTCGATGGAGGAGAGTTCCTCTCCGGGCGTGCGCGCCGGGGTGCTGATAGCAGAGTAGGAGCCGCCGAGAGAGGAGTTTGCGCGGGACTGGGGGCGGGAGCGGAAGGCGGGGGAGTAGACGAGGACGAAGAGCTTTATGCGGGAGAAGTCGGTGTCGGGAAGGTGGGAGAGGATGGTCTGTTTAGTGTTAGTGATTGGCATTAAGTACGAGAGGAGCGTGAGGAGGCTGACTGCATTCTCTTCGCGGTAGGTGGCTGAATCATCGAAGTGGTTTTCTGAAAGGCTTTCTGCGCTGACGACGAGGACGACGGTTTTGCGCTTGCCCCAGTTCTTGTCTTCGATCTTGCGCATGCTGGCCGCGAAGCTCTTGGTTTGCGCGTCTACGGCTGCTGCGCTGTCCCGGCTCTGGGCTTCGACATTCCTTCTCAGGGCTGCCTCCTCGCTCCATCGTGAGTGGTCGCCAAAGGCCTCGTCCTTGTCCTCCTCGCGGATCGAGGCCAGGGCAGCGCCAGCAGCAGCGCCGGCAGCCGCCCAGCCGGCCGCCGTCTTCTTGCTCACGGTATCGAAGAACTGCTGGGGCGAGGGTGTGCGACGGATGACTCCCTGGGCGCGGCCGAGCAGAGTGGCATCATTGCTGTATGCTTCACCGCCCACGCCCCCGGGCCCCAGGTCACGGCCCATGGGCGCCGTGCCATTTCGCCTGTCGTGGGCACTGTCTTCGCCGTAGCTCAGATCATCGTCTGAAGAGTAGTCTTGCCCGTCTTCGCGCGCGCTCCACACCCATGCCGCCAGGCCAGCTGTCGCGACAGTCACGGTGAGGATCAGAGGAACATAGAAGCCCAGGGTGCTGCGGTTGCGTGAGCTCGACTGGCGACGGTCGTAACGGTCGTAATTGAAAGACGACATTCTCTAGGTCATGTCGCTATGGAGAGTTTTGGTCTTCTGTTGTAGCTTGGATCCTGCAGTTGTTGCTTTTTCTTTTAGGGGCGTGAGTTGTTTTGTTTCAAGCGTCAGCAGTGCAGAGCTTCCCTGTTGTTGTGGGTGGCTGGGGAAAACGCAAGGCTGATGCTTGACACATGCGTTAGCGGCCCGAGGCTGTTGTTACGAGTCATGTCCGCTTTTTGACGTAGCGGGGTGACTCTTACACACCCCCACACCATTCCTCTGTACCTGCAGCAGAGGAGTCAGCAGACGGTCGACCTACACCTACTCTGGGATACGTAGGCCAATACGACTGTCTTCTTATCGATTGGGCCACTGTGAAAATTACTGGACCCCATACCCGACCAGAACTACTCCAAGACACACATCCAAAATTATTCAACCATGCCACACGCGACGAGCCTTCCCCCGCCGGGCTTCCAGGCCCTCATTCTTTGCGGACCTGGAGCCTCATTCAGTACATTCACATCTTCACCGAAAGATATACCAAAGGCACTGCTGCCCATCGCCAACCGGCCTATGGTCTGGTACCCGCTGGAATGGTGCTATCGCATGGGAGTAACAGGTAGGTTGGGAGAAAAAAAAGATGACAAAGTAGTATATGGCTGACAATACACAGACATCACAGTCGTTACCCCGCCAGAATCACTAGAGGCCATCGAGGCTGCCATGTCGCAAAATCCACATCTCACAACTCTCCCTTCACCGAAACCAGACATTCTCGCACCAAAAGGTCTCTCGCACCAGACCAGTACCGGCGACCTCTTCCGATTACCTGAACTACAAAGCGCCATCAAGGGTGACTTCATCGTACTTCCTTGCGATCTCGTATGCGAACTGGACGGTACATCGCTGGTAGACGCATGGATGGTCGAACAGGGCGGATTTGCAGGCGCAAGTGGAGGGCTAGATCACAACGGCGGCAAGATCGCATATGGTGCTGGAGGAGAAAAACTAGGACGAAGAGGTGGAATGGGTGTGTGGTATGAGACCAAGGGTGAGGGTAGCAGGAAGAAGGAAGAGACCGACTTCATTGCGACAACACCTTTGCCCAAGCCAATCGTCTCCGTGCCCACCGACTCATTAAGACGCAACATCTCCAAACTCGTATACTCGGTTCCCACAGACACTCTCAACGATATTACCGAAGAACAAAAGACGTTTCCCCTTCGACATTCACTCATCAGAAAGCATGCTCGGATAAGGATGCTGACGACGCACCGCGACGCACACATTTACATTTTCCCCTACTGGGTCATGGAAATGATTCGCAAGAATGAAAAGTTTGAGAGCATAAGTGAGGAAGTAATGGGATGGTGGGCGAAAGCTAGTTGGCAAGACGGCCTGGGCGAGAAGTTGGGTCTGCGGCAGATATTGCAAGAAGAGAATGAAGAGTCGGATCACGGATCCCAGATGGTCGAGGAAGATATTGATGTTTCCAAGTTCAGCACCACATACTCTGGAAACAACGTAGAGAACGAAGAGAGCTCGACTACTGCGTTAGCATCAAGAGTCACCAGATCGTCGAGCATACCCGACTCCGCAAAGTCACTCACAGCAAACTCGAAACTTACCGTCCCGCCTATTCTCGCATACGTCCAGCCTTCGGGTCCCAATGAGCCTCTTATCCGCCGCGTTGACGATTCCCACCTCCTGTTGACCATCTCGCTCCGCCTCGCCAAGCTGCCCTCGATTGAAGAGGTTGGAAAAGAAGCTGCTTCGCCGTTTGCCCACCAGTCCAAGATTGCGCACAAGGAATCTATCCCACGTAAATGCCGAGTAGAAGCAGAGAACTCGCTACTCGCCGACAACGTCATTGTCGAGGAGAAGACTAATATCAAAGAGAGCGTTATCGGATCGAATTGCAAGATTGGCGAGGGTGCACGGTTGCTGAGATGTTTATTGATGGATGGCGTCGAGGTCGGTCCCAATGTTCAGCTTACTGATTGTATTCTTGGTAGGCGGTGTAAGATGGAGGGTGGAGATGCAAAGGATGGTGATAAGACTGTACTCAAGGACTGTGAAGTGCAGGATGGTCAGGTGATTGAATGGGGAAGTAAGTTTACCACTTTTTTTCTTGATTACGTTTGTAAGAGTGGAATACTAACAGTTGTGCAGCTGAGGCCAAGAACGAAAAGTTTATGCGCTTCGATGTGGGTGACGATGTCGGTAGTGAGGGCTTTGGTGGCGATGAAATGGATGATGATGCGGGTGATGATGAGGGTATCCCATTGCGGTAGAAATTTTGTTGGTTGTATGAAAGAAGATTAAGAATACATGGAATTTATGAGCAAGTGGATAGCTGTGTTCACGAACGTGACTGAAGAAGATTGCTCATCATATCTCACAAGCTGACAATACTGAGCCTGTATTTGTAACACCTGATGAATCTAAAAGTGGTCAATCTGGAGGCTTTGAGAGACAGCACAAGATTTGACCATAGCTATAGCTCGTACGTGTATGACTTTTCACTTTCACTCCAGTCCGGGCAGCCAAGGTCACATGCAAGACTCCTTCTCTTGCACTGTACTTACAAATCTGTAAGCATCAGTGAGCCTTTATTTCCCTTCCGCTCTTCAATAGCTGAACTAGAATATCGTGTCAATTCCGACTCGACGATCGGCATCATGAAGTTCAGCACCGCCATCAGCGCAGCAACTTGCATCTTCCTCGTCGCCGCCCGAGTAATCAAACCACCCTCAGCATCCCCCAACCCCGATACCAACGACTTCCGACTCACCACTGCTTTCTGGAGTGACGAATACGCCTCCTCGAGCGAATGGACCACCTATACCACTAAAGGCGGCGCACTCATGTGCGGCCTAACTGGCTCCGACGAAACCGCCGGCTCCCTCCTCCAAGACACGCGCAACCCCCCCTCAGCCGCCAGCCCCTTCACCAGCGACCTCAAATCCGAACTTCAAGCCTGGCACTGGTGCAGCGTCAACCCCTCCTCCTTCAGCTGCAGCTTCTCCACGCACTGGGGTTTCCCGCACGCCATGCGCTCGCTCGGTCTCAGCGGCACATCAGCTGTCCAAGGCGGCGACAACCACTGTTATAGGATTGAGCATTGGGACCCGGAGATGCGGGATGAGCGAGGGAATCAGGTGCCTGCGATAAATCAGTGGTATAGTGTGCCTGGCATGGGGAAACAGTATCGTGTAAGCTATCGCCTTTCCCAAACAAACTCCCAAGAAAGAGAGAAAGGAAAGAAAGTTGACAACGGCAAATAGGCAACGAAATCCCACTACGAATTCGCCATCAACCCCCGCGGCGGCGCCCTCTACGGCCTCTTCCTCGAAAGCCCCCAATCCGCCGCCCGCACCCTCTGGTACGCGGGCAAGCGCTCCCCGGACCGCGAGGATCTTCCCGCCTTGCGTACTTTTTCCGATATCCTATGGGGATACTGGGTGCGCGACAACGCGCACGTGGCGAACGTGCGGTTCTTCTTCATGATAGGGATTTCAAACGATGTTACGAATAGGCTTATTGCGAGTGCGTTGAGGGATGTGAGGGGGACGCTGAAAGAGTGGCCGGGGACGGAGTTTGGGATGGGGACGGAGCAGGGGAGGGCGTTGTTAGGTATGTGGCGTTCTACTATGTCTACTAGGTTGAGTTGGTTTGGATGAAGGGAAGGGAGATGGGGGATTGGGGGATAGGGAGAGAGACAGTGTGTGCTAACGGGGGGAATAGGATCACCGAATGGAGCGGCCTTTGCGTATTTTCTCATGCAGCATAAGGCTCAGTTGGGACAGAAGGTAATCACCAAGGTTACTGTTTTCCGGCCGGAGAACGATGACGATGTGGATTTTGTGGATGCGTCCTTATGCTTTCATGTTGCTGATGGGGAACAGGCGGCTGGAGAGGAAATGAAGGGACGCATTGTGAGTAGGAATGTCGCGGACGATGGGACAGCTAGGAGTCTGACTAGGGTGCATGAAATTCATGCCTAGGGGAAGGTAAGGCGGTGAATGGTGTTAGAGGGTGGTCTCCAGTGTGATTACTGTGAAATGGTCCAACAATGACGTTTTCACTGATTGTAATTTTGATTGGTAATTGAAGTGATGAGTCTGGGATTTCGTGCATTTTCCTTCGTATAGCTGTGGTCACTGGATACAGACCGGATACTTGAAAGCGAAAATGGATCACTGATAGACGTGTGGGTATCGTGATCAAAACTGGATCAGGTGGGTATCTGGGCCCGTGCTGTGGCTGTCCCGCTGATTACAGAGCGGATGCCTTGAAGCAAGCTTGAGTCACTGATACGTATGTCGTTAGTAAAAGTTGGAGAGTAGGCGAGTATTCAGGTATGTGGTGTTGACATCCCCCTAGATACGGGCCGGGTGGTTGAAAACGGGATTCGGTCACCGATACTTGCATCGTGATCCGGGCTTGGGCGGGTACCTCGGCCTGTGGCTGGGAGCAGGCTCTCGTGGTATGGATTACTAGTATCATGGTTCTAGACGCGCAGCGCTTGATGATAATTTCCACCTCGGATGGAAAATTCAAGTGGCGTATAGTAGGAAATTACGCAATGCTCCATCAGCCGTATTCCAAAAAAAAATTCTCGAAGGAACTGGTGGCCCGAAATCAGGCGTCCAAAGCTGTAGGTTCGTCTCGTGTCAACTTGATGTCCTTTTTTCTGCTCCCTTTCAGTGAGTTTCTCGGAGACCTCAGGAGGCTGGTGTGCGGAGTACCGTGGAAAGAAGGACGCAAGCCAGGTTGTCGTCGGACAGTTCTTGCACGTGTCCTAGTTGCCCAGTTCATGCCTAGGTCAAGCCTAACGCATTTCATACCTGGAGTGACCCCTACAGCCTCCTTGCGCCTTCTTGTTTCTGCATGACTAGCTCGACACAACGGCAACCAGTTTTTCGATCGACGTTATATATTCTGTTTTAGAACCAAATACGGACGCAACCGTTGATTAACCCTCGGCAAGACCCCACTATTCGGCCGAATTACTGTAAACCGTGAATTTTGGTTGGACGTCAGTAGGGAGTAGGATTCAACTAGGAAATGTCTGAAAAGGCCGGTGTTTGAAGCGATCAACGGGTATCCGAATTTGGGTGTGCGGCGCTATGGCGCGAACGATTAGCTTTTTGAGGCTCAAATTTACCGTGTAATATATGTCGTCGTGTAAGCAAAGCGGGTAAGCAGTTTCTTCGAAGCTGAAACTCTTGTGGCTAACGTCTCATAGAGTCCGACTAGTCAGGTAACTCCGTCGCATTTGTTTCGTGACGAAGGACTTGGTCGTCGTGGGTGGCCGCGACTTCCTTGCAACGTGAATCTTAGTACAGCTACTGCCAAGGCAATCGCAGCAAGTAGGACAATTTTTCGGTCCTTGGTTGAGCGGTCCCACAGCAAAAGTGGTGTGAGTTTGAATCCAGGGCCCTGGTTGTCTTGTAGCTAGGGTTGCGTGGTGTTGAATCGAATAGGTGTGGTAGATAATACTGCAGTTTGTATGTAAGAAATTCGGATCAAGGATGGCGAAAAGTCTTATCAGTAACAGGATCATCCTAGAGAGCCACTTGGCGACATCGTCAGCCACAGGACCGAGGCCGTGGATTCCAGACCCGAGGACGAGGGCTGGACAAAGGACGGTGGATGAGACGAGTTTGCGGGGTAGGACAGAATAGTACAGTCTCCGCTATTCCCGGTGTGTGATTAGCACGTTTTGCGAGGCTCAAGAACGTTAAGCCCCCCCCTGTTCCTGTTGCCTCGGGACGATCTTATCAACGGTATTATGGTGATCAAACCAATCAGGAGTAGCACAAGGAATCACGTTCGAGGTCATTTGACTCGTGTGTTTGGGTCTGGCCGAATACCATGTCTGTCGCAATACATTCCTTTACGGAACGACTGAACGGTGTGCATGATTGCATGATTGCGCAGTCCTGGGGCGTACCCAGGTTATCTTATCTTTTTTATTCACAGCAGGCACAATGTCTAATAGGAAACGACTCGGGAAAGAGATTGTCTTTTCCAAGTTCTATTAAAAATTAGTACTTGGTGGTTGATGTGGGAAGGCACACAAGAGCCGCAATTATCAATCATCAAACTCAGCTTTTGCGTCATTCCCAATTCCGAGGCTGTGCACTCAAAACTTTCCTATTCTGTGCAAGTATCTCTGTTTCGTGTTGACACCACCCTTACAGTAGTGTGGTGGCAAGCAAAACATGACCGGCATTGCAGACCGAAAAACCCCTTCCTTCATAGCTCCTCAACAACGTCCTGGAAATATCTCAGGCGAAAATCAAGATTTGATTGGGCTGATTTTTTCGAGCCTTGCAAGAACTGCTAAAACGTTCCTCTAACACTAGATCCTTCATACACGTGGATTTACTAGCACCAGTTAGTTTACGCCCGTAATTCCGGGTCTGGGGTTACTAGGCCAAAGCCGTTAGGATCTTGTGTGTATGGCAGCGGCTGTATCCGGTCGAGGGATGCATGCTTCGTATTTTGTGCACTATCTTGCCGTCTCGTGGTCAAGCCGAATGGTCATGTCACATCTCTTGACAAAGAGCCCGCAAGACTTTGTTTCGTCGGGGAAGTCCGTTCATAACTTTATATGTCTTTCATTGTAGAACTAATGACGATATGTGTCAATACGGATACTCAACATAATCTCGCATTTTGCAATGGCTACTGCATTCACCACGAGTTGTATGGATGGCGACAATACACTCTCTGAATCTAATCCTGGATTTCACCGAACGCCCCGAGGTGGTGCTCTTGGCACTTCTGACATGAGGCTACAGGATTGCGCTAACATCCCTGTACTAATTCAACATGTGGGTCGCATGCGCCAATGGTTGTGGCGGTTGCTGTGTTTCTAATGCATGTCCCTCCGTCTTCACCATAGCGTTCACTGTAAACTAGTTGTATCAAAACCTGAATTATGTGGATTCCCGTGTGCCAGAGATAATCGCGGGTAGGGATAATCGGATGTGGGTGGAACAGCCGCTGGATATATCTTGGGATCCTGCCTTAATGCCCCGGTGGTATAGAGTCCTATTTGTGAGCGTAACAAACTTTGCATTTCCATACATTGATGAAGAGCATTGAGCGCCATGGATGAGTCGATGCATCCATCGCGCGATGAGCGCCAGCGGCGACTTATCTTGATTTGTGTCTCAGCAGTCACGACAGTTCTTGGAGGTATGTATAACTCATAAATTATATCGGAATATTCACTGACAGCAAGCAGTACTATGTGTCGCTTTGCGTGTATACACGCGAAAATTCATTATTCGAAGCATGGGTCTAGAGGACTGGACCATGATTGTGGCCACTGTATGTTGCTTAGAAAGCGACCATAAGAAGCTGCCTAATACGTACTAGTTACTCACTTTGGTACACCTTTCTGAAGCCTTAGTTGGCGCGCTACAGTTCAACATGGGTTTCAGGGCGTCGACCATGTCTCTGAAACAGGTGGGCGGCAACATCAGGGTATGCTTATCTCAGTTCCTAATCAAACTAGGCTAATACGCACAGCTCATTGTTGCCATGCTCGTTGGTTACTCAGCGATTGTAACCTTGATCAAGATCTCCATACTTTTGGTCTACCGCAGACTAGGTTGGTGTTGGAGGCAACGTACATCCCAACCAAGCTGACAAGTCACAGCCTACAACAAACGATTTGAAGATTTTTGCAAGAGAACCATCATTGTTCTTGCTACATACCAAGTCGTTTTCACGATTGTAGCGGCTGCCCAATGTGTACCGTTGCACAAGCTTTGGGACTTCACCGACAGTGTCCCAGGCTTCTGCATCAACATCAATGCTTTCTATCATGGTATGACTCTCTTCTCGACACGACTGCCATATAGTTCTTATTTCTCTTACTAAAACGCCACAGCGTCGTCTTCTTTCCACATACTCATCGACATATGGATCCTCACTCTGCCCATCCAACTCATCCGGCGCATACCCCGCAAACCACGCGAAAAGCTCGCATTATACATTAATCTCGGACTGGGAGTTGTGAGCATGATAGCCTCCATCATCAGGTTCCGATTTCTCTATATCTTCACCACTTCCGACGACCCCATTTACGGATTCGTTCCTGTCAACACATGGTCCATGGTCGAAGTCAACGTCGGCATCTTGTGTGCAACCCTGCCAATACTGAGGCCCCTTGCAATCAAAGTGAAGCACTATAGCAATAATAGCTCGCTCAATCTGTTCAGGAGTAATAGCGTGCTCAGTAGCCGGATCAGGGCCAGTAGCTCGCTTAGCGGGCGCGGGACTAGCAGGACGACTGTTACCATAGGGCGTGGAGATGGTAAGTCTCCGTCCATAAATACAGGCTTAAGCACGCCAGTCACTCTACGTCCTCTGAGCCCAGAGGGGGTCAGATACATCTTACATAATGAAGGATGGAGGGTGGACAATCAGTCGCCGCCACCAGTGCCGCCGAAGGACGTTGTGTTTGACTGGCGGCGTAGTCATGCGCCCCAACGTCCCGCCGTGGTACACATGAACTATAGAAGCCCAAGAGATATAATTTTTGAAGAGGATGACAAATATTTCAAAATATGAATACGATTTTACGATTGATATTGCTAGCCTCACTGTTGACTACAAAACTGCGCGCGAACAATGACTTCAATATGTGACAGCATCCTGAACAGGACACAGCATATTCACACCCCCATGACCTCATATTTCCAGCCATCTATACTTCCTTCAGGCGTAAAGTTGTGATATTTTTGCACCAAGCCGCGCGCTCCCGGCCCCCCAGACAACGAGCCTAGGGGACCCGAGTACCCCCACAAACAACGCTATACCGAATCGGTGCACCTAACCCAGCTTCATCCCAAGTATTGATTGGGCCAGAGCCTCGATGATGGATGTCTTGCAGCAGCAGTATGCTTCATGTTTGCTTTACCCTGTCCCGTGGCACACCTGATTGGGCGACAAGAGGAGCAGAGTTGCTGTATCATGTACGTCCGCGCGGCGTCCTCGTGGCTTTGCTTTAAGGAATCGTTGTTGCCTAGGGGATTGCCTCAGTCTTATACACGACCAAAAAGACGCCTCTATTTCCCTCAGACTCTTCATCCAAAAGTCATAGATACCTAAGAAAAGCCGAATCCAAGATCAGCCTTTTTGTGAATTATCAAAAAAACAAACCCTCCCTTAGCCTTGGGAATTAAACATCATGTCTCCCACCCAGAGCAAGCTCGCTACCTACGAACTCCCTCTTCGTGTACTAACTCTTCTTACCACCGCCATCTCACTACCCCTTCTCATCGCCACAACGATTGTATCGCTCAACTATCACGTCTGGTGGCGCTACCGCCCCGTCACAGCCTTTTGCTTCGGATACATCCCGCTCGCTCTCACCGCCTTCGCCTCAGCTAGAACCCTCATCCACCACAGGAGATATGGACGTATGCCCCAAGCAAGCTTCAAACTAGTCGATGGCGTGGCATTCATCGCGTACGTGAGCATCCTGACTGCAATTTGGGCAGTTGAAATCGGAAACCTGGAAAGGCCAGGATTTGGGCTTTTGGCTGGATACACAACTGCGCCTATGATTGTCAATATGTAAGCCCTCTCTCTCCCTTCTTTTACATTACATAAGGGGAAAGATTTCATGTAGAGTGGAAATGGCTGATTGGTTTGCGAAAAAAAAGGCTCATACATGGTTACATTTTCGCTCTCAATGCGCGATCAGTGGCCTCGCTTTTTATGGCTGCACAAGTACACAAGTGTCCCAACTGCCATAGTAGCTTCACCGCTCGCGCACCGCAGGTCGAAGAGAGAAAGCAGAGTGGAGAGGGATACAGTTTGCTGCGTGGAGAAGACTATCTCGATGTGGATGCCGATGCAGTGCACTACACCGATGGTAGCTCCGGCCCTTCGGATGCGCAGATGCTACATCCTGATAACGAGTCCAAGGGCGAGCCCAAGAGCGAGTCCAAGGAGGAGGGCAAGAAGGTGATTATCGATGTCTGAGCTCTCGGACTTGGTCGAATTATCGGATGGTTTATGCTTAACGGGCGCTACTAGTGCGGCTTTTCGAAATAAAGTTTCGCGACGTTGTACTTACGTAGTGGGTAAGAAGTGTCGTGTGATAGAACTAGGTGTCGAGGTAGGACTGGCTGAGTGTCTTGTCGAACACACTGCCAGCTTTGTAAAGTTGACGAAGGATCTGAGACGTTTGTGACGCGAGTGAAGCAGGAAGATGGAACGGTATCGTTGCGTTACATTTGACATGTACAAGAAAGATATCATATATACGTCCTCATCCCCACCAGAAACTCCCATACCCACGGTATCTTCTATAAACAAGGTCATATATTACGTGCCATCATGCTTTAGTAGACAGCCTTGCAGCCTTTAATTTCGGGAAACTTCTCGTCTTGGTCCCACTGTATCACTCTGTTAGCACGAATCTCTCAGCACCCATCACAAGCAGTTTGTAACTTACGTGCTCAACAATACATCCGCCCTCCCACCTAAATCGGTCCACAACGTCGCCGAGCGAAGAGTCGTAGTTAACCCAGCTCATGGGAGAGATGAAGGTATTACGCTTGGCAGTCATATTGGCAGTGTTCCAGAAGGGGGAGAGAGCTTCCCATGCGGCGGCGGATCCATTGACTACTTGTGGGTTATGGTTCTGTAATCAATCAAGTCAGTCAAACTATTTCCCCAATGTGCTTCTGCCCCTTGTGGAGACGGATAAGTAGGAGGACAACATACAATATAATCGACCGCGATAAACGTAAACGCTTTGCTGATATCCCGCTTGTAGATGAAGGCTTGCGCAAACTGCTCAGATCGCACTCTCGTCTCCTCGACTGTGACCTTGCTGTTACGCACACACGGTGCGGGCTTAACGGGAGCGGCCTGGCGGGTCTCGAGTGTGGGAGCTGCAAGGGCAAGCGGCGCAACGAGTGCTGAGACGAAAAGTGAAACGCGCATCTTGAGAAATCCTAGTCGTGCGGAAGTGTTCGAATATTATATAGTAGTCGTTTGAAATGTTTTATGAAGATCGGATGATTGATGTGAGTTCTGTAGTATCCAGGCACAAGTACACAAGGGAAACTAAACCCTTATATCTCTCCCACTGCTCTATCTCACATGTCGCACAGCCCTAGCTTAGGCTATTGCTGATTATTACTCTAGATGTGTATATACGTACGTGCTCTTCTCTCCCCAAATGAGGACCAGCGCCCAGGGAACATGCCTCGCCGGCCGTCCCTGCATCTACATACGCAAGGGCCCCACCGGCTTTATTCCGGAACCGCCAGCACAACACATCTCACCTGCGATTCGTCAGCTCGTCATCTTCTCGCGGCGAGCAGAAACATTCGACTTGTACCTGCTAATCTCGTCGCAGTAAGTAAGTGTTTACGCGGGACCATTTTTTTTTGCATGTACTACCGAAATTTAGGGGCGCAGCACCCCTCGGGCTAGGATTGAAACGAACACCCGCTATGTCAGCATCGCTTGTTTTCTGTACTTACGTACCGGTCGTGTCTATACGCTGAGGTAGGTTTGTGGTGGTGGTGGTGGCTCAGCCAGGTGACGTACTTTTTCCAAGTAAGTGTACATACGCGCATGTACTTGGACTTGATTCGGACCAGCGCCGTTTTTTCCCGTCTGATAAGAAGCCCAATCTGGGAGTATATCTGGGCTGTGTTCTGAGGCATCGGAGTATGGAAACGGCAAATCGTGGGTTCGGTAAGCGGGCTCGGTAAGCGTATACGTACGTTTTGGCGGCCACGCAAGAGAACGGGCGCTAGCGTGGCGCTAGGGAGTGAAGCATTGGACTTGGGGGACTAAAACTGCCGGATGGAAAAAGTGCCGCATGTATAAACTCTGCGATTGCGCAGTTAATCCTGTCCTATGTGCTTCCTATATATTAAATATACATAAATAAATAAAACCTTGTTCCAACAAAAACACCCACTCTAGACACTTACAAGATCCACAACCACCCTCCACAGTGACTTATGCTCATGTTACCCTACCCTCTCACCCGGCCCCATTCCAGTCCCCCCCCCTCCCCCCCGAGAATCAACTTAGTCACAGTCTTAACCTCCCTCTTATACCAAATCCCAGCCGTACCTACACAGTAATTCTCTCCCCCCCCCCCGTTGAAACCTCTCGCCCCAAACCGCAATAATAATAATAAAAACATCCCTACCCCCACGAAACAAACAACCACCCCCTTCGGAGCCATAACGCCGCCGCATCAATACCCCATCACCCCATTTACAGAAAAAACCCAGAAAAGTCGTACAGAAATACAAGTGGATACTACCGCCAAGTCCCAAGGCTTACTATCTTATCCAAACCACACCGCAGTCTCGGCACTTCCACCATCCAATCACGCCGCCGCTGGAGCTAAAATACCCGAGTGTAATGCTATGCGGGAAAAGATCTGTGGCGGAGAGCAGGTGGTGCGGGGCTGCACTTTGTCGCGTTGCGGTGGCGCATGGTGGCGGGGGGTGGGGAGCATGGTTGTGAGAGAGATAGGATAGGGTAAGGTAGGGTATGTATGTGCAAGGGATGTAGATGTGGATGTCACGTGTGCGTGTATGTGTGTGTGTGTGCGTGAGAGAGAGAGAGAGAGATATGTAAGAAGGTAAGCTATGTCTGATGGATAAACTAGGTGATTCCCATGTACAAAAGAAGGGGTGAGTATAGGTGTGACATTAAGCACTACATACATACATCTATCGCTACCTAACCGAAACTATGTACAACCATCTTTTTCTCTCACTTTACACCAGCCCTCTCTCAATCTCGAACATATACATCTCCCAGTCATCGAATCAAAAAGAGAAGAATGTAGTATTAGTTTTATAAAAAAAAAGTCCGCTAATATGTGTAAAAAAGGAGGTTCGCTCGGGTATGTTTTGTGTTACAACGCAAATCAAGAAAAAAGTCGAAAAAAGAGTTCATCGCTTCATCCCTCAACCTCCCATATCCCCACCCCATATAACTCTCACATCTCTCACGACTTCTAATACCTCAACTTGCCCAAAAGGCTAAAGCAATACGCACACTCCCTCTCACTCTTCATCTGAATCATAAAGACACGAGCGCGCGCACCCAGCACGCCGCCCGTCTTGCTAACACCGCCAATCTGGCCAGCTTCGTCGACATTGTCTTCCCATACGCTGACTGCTATGCCGCTACGGGCCACGCGCTCAAAGCACGTCTCGGACAACTGCACGTCAAGAAGGAGCTCGCCGTGTTTCTTACCCGTCAGCACGATGCGTCGTTCCTGGCGGTGGTCTCGTGTACCAGGGGCGCGTTGTCGAGAGTTGGTGGGCGACGAGGGCATGCTGGGGTTGGGCGAGGGCAGCATGATGGTTAGCCTGGCGCTGCCCATGTCACGCCATTTCTTAAGTGACTCGCGCTCGTAGAGCCTGCACTTTGTGTTTGTGATGCCAGGTGGCGCGCCAGGTGCTCGAGTGATGTCACCGGTAGGGGTTGAGGCACCTGAGCCTGGTCGAGAGTTGGAGCCGCTGTCAAAGGACGAGCCGGTACTGCGTGATCCCAGAGTCGAGTTGCGGATGCTGAAAACGCCATTCTTGCCGAACGAAAATCGGCCCAGCGCCGAGCGAAGAGCGCTGTTCATGGTTCCGACTGAAGATTCAGTGGCAGCAGAGACGGAAGCAGCACGTGTGCTTGACTTTCGGTAGCTGCTTCTCCTGCCCAGTGTGCCTCCGATCCATCCAGAGGGAGTTTCGCTGCTCGTTCTAGCTGCGTTCTGACGGTCCATTGCTTCGGCCCAGCTTGATTGTCCGTAGGGGCCGCGTGCATTCTGCAGCGCAATGTACGTGGGGTTGTTGATACGCGCTTGGTTAATCATGGAGTACAACTGAGTGCATTCAGTCGCATTGCGACTCCTCAACATGATGTTATTTCCAGGTTTGAGACGCGACTCCCCGGTAGGTGGGGAACGAATGGAGATATCTATAGCCGTTGATTTACGCAACGGTACCAGAGGGGTAAGCTCAACCGCAATAAGGGGAGCACCTCCCTCGGGAGTGATGATCTCGTCGCCGTCAGCGAGGAAAGGTTTAGAATGATTGCTTGAGATTTCAAAGACCTCAATCTTTCCTGGTGTGACGACAATACTACATTCGTCGGGGTGCAGGCTGTCCCATTTGCCCTGGTCAGACCAAGCAAACAGGGACGCTATCGTGCGTGAGGCCTTTCCAGAGTTTTGCGGAACGGTCCGGTAAGGCGAGTTTGATGCGGATTGGGACGGAGTGATGGTCCCATTAGGAAGGGTATAGATGGAAGGTGGCGGTGACACCTTGGGGAACTTCTTCGTATCCTCTTCCGTTTTCTCAGCCGTAGTCGGGCGGCTGGGCTCGCGAACCGCAGTTTGTGGGCGCGAAGTATATCCGCGGGGTCCGATGTATCCGATTGGCATCAATGGCATGGGCACATCATCATCTAGCTCATCTTCGGATGACTCAGAAGTAGCACTCTCTTCTTGTTCTTCACCGGCTTCTTCTTCGGATTCAGACTCCTCCTCGCTTTCACTCGACTCTTCCGTGCAGGTAGATGGTTCATACTCGTGCTTCAGTGGTGAAGATGAACGGCGCTTGCCCCTGAAGCCAGGTAGTGTCGGTAGGAGTACGGGAGTTTTGGAGCCCTTTAGTGTTTCAGGGCTTGCCGGGCTGGGGGAACGATGTGGTGGAGTAGGTGGGGGTGGTACGTCAGCCCGAGCCTCTGGCTCTTGAATATCCTCAACCGTGATGCTATGCTTCTTCTGATGCATCTTGGGAGGCGCCGAGGCTACTTCACGAACATTCTCGGATTCTACACGTGAATCCTCAGAAGGTGTGGAAGGACGACTTGACTTTCGTTGTCTGGGAATACTGGGAAGTTCCAAAGAAGGCACAGATGAGACCCGCCTGTGTTGTTGTGGACGTTGGGGTGAAGGCGGGGAGCCAGGAGGTGAAAGCTCCGACTCTGTGACTGTGCGTTTGTCTCCTTCAGAAGAGTCCGAGTCCGAGTCATCAACCTCAGAGGTTGGCATCCAGACGCTGAAACCCTTGCTTGATTGCGAAAGCGCTGATGGTGCAGACGGAAGCGATTGGGGTCGTCGCTTCGTGGACTTTCTACGGGGCTTGGGGAGGTCCTCGGCTGGTTTAACATCTTCTGGTTCAGTGGGATCATCCAGTGTAATTTGGCGGGATGGACGTCCGGAGTGTGGAGACGAGGGATTTTTGGAAAGCCTCTTTGCTCTTGTTCGTTTAAGGCTTGATGGAGAACCAGTGTTGGCCATGCGCACTGCTTCGTCGAGGCCGCGAGGTGTCCGGTCAGTATCATCGTGTGACTGACCTGTATGGAACATTTGTTCAACCGGCGTACGCGGCTCTGCTTGGGTGTCGTAAGGATTACTGAAGGAGGCATCGCCGCTTGGAGGTGTAATGGGCGACACTGTCCGTGACTTGTTTCGCTTGTGTGGAGTATCGTAGTGCCATACTTTTGATACTTCTGTGTGTCGTTCGCCGATAGGAATATCAATTTCATGTGGGCTGGGGGTTCGGCTCTTGTCTAGTGCGGTTGAGCCTGTTGCATGAGATGGGGAAGACGAGCCATAGCTGCTTGTTCGCTGTGCTTGATTGGTTGCGGCTTGGATCTTCCTGACTTCGGACAATTCAGGGGGGATGGGATTGAGCCCAAGCATCTGTACCCACTCGAAACCAGCCTGTTCATCGTCAGAGATTAGAGACATGACCTCGCTCCATTCGGAACCATCTGCCTGAGTTCCGCGGATCATGACAATAATCTCGCCCTTGGCATCGCCATTGCGAGCCGATGCGTTACTCAGCTGGACCGGTGGCAGGAGTAACCATCGTCCCGTGGAATCGACTTCACAAATCAAAATATCACCTCCAGCGCCCTGACCTGGAGCATTGTCGCGGAGTAAAATCTCAACGCGACAACTCATTTCTTGACCACTCGAATGGTAGAGATGCAAATCAAAATGGTCCCTAGCTCGCACGCATCGCGACGGATCAACTCGCACGCCCGCAAGAGGAGCGAGACTGCGAGGATCACGAGCACGGGTGGGGTCAATGTCGGCTGCTGCTTCGTCTTCGAGGCGGGCCTGCTCATCGTTGGACCGCTTTCGGGCGGCGATGACCAAGTCTTGGAAGATGCTTGACACCTTCTCTACGCGCTCGGATGGTTTCACGTGGTTGATGCCCTAGGAAGGTCAGTATATGAGCTAGAAATGTTTGAAGTGACTTCACAAACCTTCAAGCTCTTGGAGAGGTACTTGAGTCGCACCAGTGGGCGCTTGAGCATATAGGCAACATCAACACGCTCGCCGTCACTGTTGACGACGTATCCTTCTGCGTTGCGTGGCATGCCCTCATCCCAAGGGGCGCCATCATCTGGGCCATTGACAACCTTGGCAGGCTTAAAGGGATCTTCGTCGGCGGGTGCAAGGCTGATTACCACATCTTGGAAGCCAAGACGCCAGACGGAAATGTAGTCAGAGTAGACACGCTGTGCGCTCTGTGCCCACTCAATCAGTTCATCAGAGTCGTCCGTGGGGACGCGCTTATGCAGGGTCTTGAGTCGCTCTAGACAGACACCCATGTCGACAATGGGCTTTGTGATTTCACTTGGATCTGTTGATTTGGATGAGCGAGAGAAGAGTCCAGCAGCAATGGCGGCCTCTGATTTGTTTAGGACACAGCTGAGAAGAACAGGAATGACACCATCGACAAGAGTGCGGAGCTCTCGCATATATTTGGCCTCGTCAGAGGAGAGCTCCTGCATGATATCTTCAATGGTGGCAGTGGCTAGGCGGCTCCTGTTGGTACGAATGCTGCGAGCGGAGACGATGCTCTTGGAGCCTGCTGCTTTGGGCATGGAGAGTACTGACATGAGGTCCTCATGCCTGGCAATTTTCCTCCGGCGGGTGCTCTGGCGACTGATGATTGTCGAGGTTTCGGGGTTCAGGAGCGAGCCGACTTCAGACGAAGGCGCTCGGGTTCGGGTTCGCTCAGAGAAGGCACTCACTGTGTCTGAGGCACCAACGCCTGATGATCGCGTTGATTGAGAGGCAATTGTAGAGAGGCGCTTGCCAGTGGATGGGAACATGCGCGGGCCCAATATCTGACGTGGTCGCAGTGGCTGTGGCATCAGATCAGCCATGTGATCGTCAGCAGCCTCAGAGGGTGTAGCTTCTTTTGCCTCTTGGTCTCGAGCGTTTTCCTTGGGCATGTCGTCTATAGAGGTGGATTCGCGAAGGGGAGATGACATGGATCGACCCTTCGTAGGGGAGTACTGGCTTTTGCGCCTTGCACCACGGCGCTTCAGACTTGGTGTTGAGGCAAAGGACACTTCGCTATCTTTGTCTTGGACAGTCGTTTCGCTCATGGCATCAGAGGCGATGGTGGACGGGGCCTCCTCGAGATCTTGTGTCTTGATGGTCATCTCGCGGCTGGCTTGCCTGCGTCGTTGCTTGCTGCTGCTGGCACTGCCACTTCCACTGCTGCGACGGCGGTCCTTGTCGACAGAGTCGGGTCTTGTCCTCTCAGTGGATGCACTGACTTCTGATTTCTCGGCCGGGTAGGGCAGATCAAGGGATGACACGGAGTCCTTGGATCCTCTCCTCTTGTGCGATTCCTTTGCAGGCTCGTCTTGTGTCGCCTCTGTCGACACAGTGACCTCAGACCTGCCGGCTGTGGCAGGGAGATCTTGGGACGAAGCGGATCCCCTGGATCTACGCCTACGTCGCGAGCGTGATTTTTTGACAGGTATTTCCTCCGTCACGTCAGTGGACAGAGTCACTTCTGATGTTCCCAGATTTGAAGGCAGCTCTGAGCTGGATGCAGAATCCTTGGATCTTCTTCGCCTGGGGCGGGTTTTGGGGTTCACGAGGGGGTCGGGCGTGCTGCTGAGCCAGGCTTCTAAGCGGCTTCCTACAGGCCTGGCGGGAGGTGTCTCTGACGCTGCTGGGATTATCAATGGCGTGGCAGCCTCCTCCTCGGTCCTTGGGTATGACCTGCGACTCTTCCTTCGTGAGGGTTTCTGGGGGTTCTTGAGAGCTTCATCGGCTGTACGATCGCCTTGGCTTCGCGGGCGGCGCCGTCGTCTTCGCTCTCTGAGTTCGTCATTTCGCGGCGAAGTAATTCTGCTCTCTCGTGGGAATGAAACGGCGCTCTCCTCCTCGTACTCGACTGTGACAACTAGATTAGGGTCCTCGCTCAGGGCTGTGTCGGATCTGTGGGCAAGTCTCTGTGGGTATTTTGCAAGGTCGTCTGCTGACATGGATCCCCGCGGGGAAGTGCGCGCACGCCGTCTACTAGGTCGCACCCTCACCAGCTCCGTCTTTTCCTTCTCTGGCTTCGGAGACGTTGATTTAGGTCGCTGCTCATCGCTTTTTGCACCCTTGTCACTCTTTGCGCTCTTCCCGCTCCCTCCACCGCTGCTTGTTGGTCGTTGGTCACTGCCAGAGCTGGAGGGCTTTGAGGGTTTGGGTTGTTTGGGTGGAGCCTTGATCTGTCCTGTGCTTTTCCCAATATACTCGGCGAAGGGGAGGAGAGGGCTCTGCTGGAGGGTTACTGGCGCAAGGGGTTTGAGTTCAGGACTAGCGGGCTTCTTGGGAATGATTTTCGAGGGGCGGACCCAGGCATTGGCGATGATCTTGGGCTGGGGGCGGCCGGCGGCGTCCTTGGGGGGTGGCTGTTTGCTGCGCCAATGCGAGTCGCTGATGACGCGCTTCTTAGGCGCAGTTGCAGTGAGGACATCTTCGTCGAGCTCGTTGTGGGGGATGGGCGTCTTCTTTCCGCTGCCGGGGCGCTCTGGGCTGGCACCGACAGACTTGCCCCGTTCGTGCGAAGGCTTCCAATTTGGCTTGTCATCGAGGGTCTTTGCCTTGGGTGTCGTGACGGGGGTAGTAGGGGTAGCGGGCGTGATGGGCGCAGCGGGTGTGGGTGAAGAGACAGCGCTTGCATCTTCCGTGGTTGTCGTGGCCGCCGCTGGGGTTGCAGGAGTTGCGGGAGTGGGTGTTGTAGCGGCGGCCTCTGGCTCGATGTTCTGCTGCCAGCGCTTTATCTTGTCGCGCACGTTGGCGGGCTTGTTGATTCCAATTGCCTTTGCAAAGTCCTTGCCATCCATGCCGGTCTGTTTGTCCGTCGCGCCCATCTTCTTGCCTGGCGGGCCATTTCTCTTCTGTCCAGTCGAGTCTTGGGGGTCACTGGGCCGGGGGGAAGCGGGCATCGAGTCCCGCAATCATTGGAGCAAGCAGTGGGGCGTCGCGGGGGACGGTGGTCGCGGGGGGAGGTGAAGACGGGCGGTTTGGTGTTGTTGTGTTTTTGAGCTGTGGTCGAGTGTGGCTGGTGGGCGTTTCCAGAGCTACGCAGGAGCCCGCAGCAGGCCGTGACGGCGAGGGCAGAGTGTTTGTGTGTATCACGGGCCAGCGAGTGTATGGGGCAGGCGAGGTGAAGGCCGCGGCGCCGTACATAGGCACAGTGATTATGGGAGGGAGAGGGCTGGCGGTAGCGCAGTGGGAGCGAGACAGGCCGCAAGCCGGTGTGATGATGTTGGATGACCCAATAGGTGCGGATAGCGCCCAAGGCCGGCCTGGCGTGGTGCATGCATGGCACGTCCCCTAGGCCGACTCGACTCGACTGCGACGACCAAAGAAAGACGCGATAAGAGCCGATCGGTGGTGGTGGGCGATCGGCGAGCACGCTGCCTTGCCTACTTAGTACGCGCATACTTAGTTGGATATGCTCCGATGCACCCGCCCGCCCTGAGCCTGGGCGGCGACCTTTTTCTTTTGCTTGTCTTCATGGATACTTAGCTACTTGACACATGTTCTCCATCCAGACAACAGAGACGAGCAGCCCCGCCGACCCACGTCCAGTCTCCAGGGCCAAAAGACACGCATCCATGCCAAGCGGACAGACAGCTGCCATTCCAAGTTTACATACGTGTCGTCGGCGAATTGCATGCATCGGCGGCCTCTTTGCTGCCAACATTGTGCCTGCCGACCCCCATGTACATCATTGTGCATCCAACATTAAAACAGCCTTCTATTTTCACATCAACCACCCAAAATATGCACATTGCCGCTACCTCTGCACCGTCCCCTTTGCCGTCCTCTATTTCTGACCCAGCCGTTCGTACTCCAAGCTCGCCAGCACAAACGCCCCACTGCCCAATACGCTGTTATACAAAATCGGCCTCCCAACATAATACTAAAAAAGCGCACTAGTCAGCAAACTTCAACTTCAACACCTCTCCCCATGTCGCAAATACATACCTCGTACGTAGCCGTCGAATTCAGACTGCACACGCTCACCGTGCCATTCCACCCCAATGTTCCATTTCCATTGTGCACCACAAAGCTGTCAGCAACATACTCGTAAGCCCTACGCGCCACACGCGAATACACGTCCGCATCCCCGCCCCGCCCCAACACCCCCAGCCTCACGCTCTTCAGCAGCGCATACACAAACATGCTGCTCGCACTGCTCTCAATATAATTGCCCTGCTTGCCCGGCTGATCCATGACCTGCCACCAACCCCCCGTCTTTCCATCTGCCGCGCGCACCACCGCCGGCAAGAGCATCTGCAACTTGCCCTCGACGTACTCTCTGGCTTCGCGCGCAGAAGCAGGAAGTAGTTCGACCAGGTCCACGAGCGCCATGCAGAACCATCCCAGACTGCGGCCCCAGACGTGCGGACTCGCGCCTGAGATGCTATTCGCCCATACTGCTGCGCGGCGGGCGTCGTACCCATGCACCAGCAGCCCTGTCTTGTCGTCGTAGCAGTGGCGCCACAGCAGGTCGAGCTGCTGCACAATGGCTGACTGGCAATCCTGTTTGTTACTGCTCTCCACGGCCTGGCTGTAAGCGGCCATGAAGGGGGCGAAGCTGTACATGCCGTCGAGATAGCTCCAGTAGGGGTAGACGTAGTACCATAGGCCTCCTTCTGCGGTTTTCGGCTGCAAGTCAATGCTGTGTCGTAGTGCTGTAGCGGCGGTGTGGTATTTTTCGTTGTTTGTTTCTTGCCATGCTCGTACAAGTCCGTTTCCGTTGCTCAACCGGTCGAGTGGGTAAGTGGTATCTTTTGTGGCATTGGACACAACTGGAACAACGGAATCCAGGCTCTTAAGAACGTACGCATCGATTGCAGACTTGGAGATATGCTGCGGGTATTGTGTTACAAGTGCGTGAAACGCTTTCTGGACGAATCCAGCTTGAAGAAGCGCAGATGAATCTTGCCCGCTGCTCAGGATACCTTGCTCGCGAGCCATGATGGACTGCGCCATTTGCAGGGAAAGTGCACGTGACGCATCTTGCGTGCTGCGAGGCAGCGCTGCAGTGCAGCTGAAAAGGCCAAAATAAGAAACAAGGCGTGCGCTTAACTGCATCGTGACGAGGGATGTCTGGGCGGACGTGGGGTGGAGGGGCGTTCTGCGTTGACCAAGAAGTCTAGTAGAAACAAGAAAACACAGCCTACCAAACAACGAAGAACTGGGCTGGGCGTTTTGTTTGCATGGGGAATGATGTGATCTGCAGAAAGAAGCAATTTATGATCAGCCCATTTCCGCCAATGCTTCGACTCTAAAATCTCACCGGTAATTTTATTACCTCGACGCACGACCCGAAGATAGAACCATAGTGGTAGCTTACATGTGATGAATTCTATAGTCTACCCTTGTCCTTTTTCTACTCGTATTATAAAGATAACTTCAGGTCCACTTAAAGTAAGCAGTGAACTCAAGATCTAGATTACTGCTGAATGTGCCAACCCACTCATGCAGACATGCATTCGTAACAACGATGGCCACGTCCCTAGCGTCCCCTCAACCCCCCACTCTCATCCTCCGAAGATCCTGCCACCACGACCGAACAACCATACTCTTTGCCTAGTTTCGCTTCTTGCCCAACTTCTCAACCAGCCTGGCTGCGTCGTTGACAGCCGCAAACGCACTCCACGTGGCCATGACACTCTGGTACATAAGGTATCCAGGGATAACGATCCAAAAGGCGTTCATGAGGACAAAGTAGCCCCAGTAGTAGAACTGTTCAGGGCGCGAGTAGGACAGGTTGAGGATGTAGTGGTCGAACAGGGAGGTCGTGTAGTATAGGACATCGCCGTAGAACTGACCAAGCGAGACAATGAGCTGGGCCGGGTAGCGGAGCGGGTGGTCGATGGAGATGAGGTAGGCAGTCAGGAACGAGCCCGGGCCCCAAAATACCTACAGCAAGGGTCAGCCCGTGACACGGCGCACGACGATCAACGTCTTAGTCTGGTAGATACATACAGCAGTGATTGTCTCCATGCAGAGCACAAAGGCGTCCTGGGTCAGGTAGCGGGAGTCGCTCAGTGCGTACTCTTTCCACAGCTGGCCAAACAAATCGTTCATGCCGCCCATGTTACGGAAGTTGTAGGCAAAGTAGCCCTCGAAGAATGAGTGGATGCATCCGCACAGGACAAACCACATGATGGTGGACAGGTCCCCGGTGCTGGCATTAGGACGTAACCGCTTGACCATAACATACGTGACACCGAAGATGGCCACGCACCCAGCCGCGAACTTGAGCACCAGGTCAAAGGTGCCGCTCGTGTTGGCCAGGTAGCCGACAATCTCCTTCTCGACGGGGTAGTAAGGGTGCGCGCCCTTGGGCAGGGACGAGTTTGTGGTCGCCATGTCGGGATGATAAACAGAGGCCGTGTCTATTAAAAAAAAAAGAGGGTGAGAAAGCAACGAGCGGCGGAGAAGCCAAAGATGAGAGAGAAATAGAGAAGAAGAAAACAAGAGAGCAGCGATCCAATGCCAATGAGCGGTCTAGCTTAACAATAAGAGCACAGTGACAGCGTGCGTCGGAGTGCCAGATTGCCAAAGACCGTAAAAAGGGAAAATATTCTGGGGCAGGGTCAGGGACTGGCCGTTGAGGGAAAAGATCAGCGCCACCGCTCGCGCCTTGCCAGCCTTAACCAGGGGTCAGAGCCGACAACGCGATTCTTCACCCTTTTCGTCCCGTTCCAGCATGCCGCAATCCCCTTGCTCGCCGCGAAAACATGTGACGTCTTTTCTGCCAGAGAAATCATTTCGACGTGCTTTCATCGTGTTGCGATAGCCGCGCAGTGCGGGGTGGTCTTCTTGGATGAATTCACTGAATTACGCCCCGTCTCACTCAGCTCAACGCATCCTACTAATGGCTTCTTGAACCTTCACTCCCATCAATGCCAAGACCACTGGGCATCTTTCGGTGCATGCTCCAGCCGCCAGCACACATGCCATAGTGTGGAGGGGCATTCTGCTATCTCAGCGCATCGTTTTGGGTGTAGGAAAAAGAAGACAAAAAACAGAACATTGCGCAGCTTCAAATGGAAAAGAGCAGCGAACAGTGTTGAGGTATTGGTTTAGTGAGCCTGCGTCTTGGGGCAGATGTTGACATGACCGATCAAGACGACCAAGAGACTGTGGGGAGAGTCGCCCCTTGAGCCCACTTGCACCCTGGCTATCCGCGGCCCCAGCCACTATTCCAGATCCGGCCAACCTCGGCTTCTACCCCAGCTTCATCCAGCCCTCACAACGTCACACTACGACATTCCACCATTATCAACCATCAACATGTCGGCCAAAGAATCACCAGCACCAGCCAACTGGGAGCTCATTTCCAAGAAAAAGAAAGCTGAGCGAGATTCGCGCATACCAGCAGACTGGACGCTGAGAACTCTGCCCGGACCCGAGGTTACCAACTACACTGAGATACCACGCCAGTGTGGACTTTTGACTGAACAAGAGCTTCAAATCACAGAGCAGTACGATGCTGTTGCGTTGTCTGCGGCAATTAGGGAAAAGAGATTGAAATGTCTCGATGTAGCTAAAGCATTTTGTAAAGTAAGCATTGTGTCAATTACAGGGTAATCGAAAGATAGATGAGATACTAATATCGAGATAGAGAGCAGCCATTGCACACCAACTCACAAACTGCCTTACAGAAATCTTCTTTGAGGATGCGCTGAAGAGAGCTTCGGAGCTTGATGCTCACTTGGCGTCAGGAAAAGCGCCTCTTGGGCCTCTCCACGGTGTGCCAGTCTCTCTTAAAGATTCCTTCAAGGTTCGCGGCTTCGATGCATCTATCGGCATTGCCGCGCTTTGTTTCAAGCCAGCAAACGAAAACGCCGTCCTGGTCGATTGCTTGCTCAACGCCGGGGCGGTCATATACTGCAAGACCAACGTCCCGCAAACCCTCATGGCCCTAGATTCCCACAACAATGTCTTTGGCCGCACCATCAACCCGCTCAACACCGCCGTAACAGCTGGTGGAAGCTCTGGCGGTGAGGGCGCCCTACTAGCCATGCGCGGTTCTATCCTAGGCGTAGGTACAGATGTCGGAGGCAGTATCCGCATCCCAGCCATGTGTGACGGAACCTTTGGCGTCAAGCCCAGCTGGGAACGTATCCCCTACGCGGGTCAAGAGCACGGCGCCCTCCCCGGTGCCTCAAAGATTGGGATCCCAGCCAGCGCCGGCCCCCTCGCCCACAGCATTCGCGACATCAACCTCTTCTTTCACGCTGTCTCCGCCCAGAAACCCTGGGAAGCCGACCCAGACGTCGCGCCCCTCCCCTGGCCCTCACTCTCCCTCCCCAAACGCCCCCTCCGCATCGGCATCGTCCGCCGCGACGGCGTCATCGATCCTCACCCACCCATCCTCCGCCTCCTCGACGAAGTCAAATCCGCTCTCCTCACCTCCGGTGTCGAAGTCGTAGAAATGGACATCACTCCGCTCTTCTCCCAATGCCAATCCCTCTGCAACGCTCTCTTCGGCATCGAAGGCGGAAACGCAATATTCGACCTCATCGAATCAACCGGCGAGCCCTTATCCCCCTGGCTCTCCTCGCGTCTTAAACGCAGGCCACCCATGTCGTTGCAGAAAGTACAGGAATTACATGGTAAGCGTGAGAAGTTGCGAACAGAGTTTTTGAAAATTTGGAAGCAGCAAGCGGGGGAGATTGATGCGTTTATTTGTCCTGTGGCGCCGCATCCTGTGCCCCCGATTGATGGCTACAATGGGGTTAGCTACACGAGTTCGTTTGTGCTGCTAGATTACCCCGCGGGTGTGGTTCCTGTGAGGCGGTTTGGCAAGGCGGATATGCGAGGGGAGATGGAGGGAAAGGAATTGGGGAGTTGGGATAAGGCGAATAGGGCTTTGTGTAAGTTTTCTTTTTTTTTCTTTTTCAACCTTAAAAGTTCCATGTGGGCATTGTGCTAATTAGGATGCAGGGACGAACTTTGATCGCTCAGTTTATCTCGACACACCGCTTTGCGTCCAGGTTGTTGCGCCGAGACTTCAGGATGAGAGGCTGCTGCATGCTATGGCTGCTGTTGATGAGGCGGTTAAAGTACAGGGTTCTATGGGTGCGAAGTTGTAGTTCAAGATTATCGCAATGTCTGTCTTGAACGAATATTATGACCACGGCTCTTAAGCGGACGCTGAGGAGAGGACAGGTTGAGCATATCGGTACTATGCCTTTATACTGCTGTTACTGTTAGCTGTGTTTCTCACCAACTGGGTATAGTGCTTTAGGACCCTGGTATATGTCGTTACCCTTCAGATGTCACCATAGAACTAATATTATATTTGACTACCTATATTTGTCCCCTATATGGGCCATGTCGGCTAAAGCAAAAACTTGCTTCATTATATCACTGCTTTACAGAAATACTATCACATCCGCGAATTTTGAACAAAGTTGATGTTAGCTCCATGGGTACGTAGATGCCAGCCGACCGTGTCAAATCTTATCCAGCATTGGACTTACACCATTGGTACAAGAAATACAAGAGCGACTAATGAAGACATACGTATCGATCCGTTACAAGTCATCGGTACACACAATTCTTACCATATCGAGAGGCCCGCCGGGGAGCGCAAGATCATTGACCGCATATCGTCCATAGTACAACGCATGACATCTTTACCACGAATATCAGCCCTACCGATCGTATAGTTCCTAGGAAACATCAGAGACCTACAGGACGAGTACTATTCCCACGAAGATACACACAGCCAGTTGGCACACCAGTCAGTCTAGTCACTCGAGTCCGACCTATATACAAACGACAATATCAAATTATATCCTCATCCACCGCTTTGGAAACTGTCAAAGTTGCTCAGAGTCCAAGCACCTTTCGACAGTTGGGTATTCAACACATCCGGCATCCAGGTATTCCACACCAAAGATCGAGACGTAAACGCCGTATGCCACACTTTCAAAGACTGTCTTTACTAAATTAAAAAGTGGTTAGACGCCCAACGTATCCACGTCCCTATTATCGTTAGTCTCGAGCTAGAAATACATGCATACCTTCACGGCACCGCAGAGAACTATCGAAAAGAAGAAGTAGAATGGAGCCGACTCGGTATCGTCAAGGTTGATACTAAGATTCTCTCTATTTTTTATTAATCTAGATCCTACGTCCCAACGATATCCGTAATCCTAGCTTAACCCTCGAACAATCGATTTTACAATATGGGCTGGCCTGGACTCCGCGACACTCGTGGTCGTGTCATCTTCTACTTCGACACTTCCATCACACCCAACCTACACAACCGCACCATCTTCACCAACGCGCTCAAAGGGGACCCCAACGCAGCAATCATCAAGCGCAACGATCCCCCTTACCGGCACGCAAATCGTAAGTAACGGATTTTCCCCCCAAAGGGTATGGAGTGCGGGGTATGGATTGAAGTATACGGTTAAGCTGCCGGGAGGTGTGATCTTGTGACTACGCTTGTGTGGTGTCAAGATAGAGGGGTTAGAGTAAATTTTTGTGTGTGTTTTTTGTGCAAGAAGGAAGATAATGTTGTTACCCTCTTGAGAATTTGTAAAGTCTCACGAGGTGTAGGGCGGGGAAGCTATTCTGCTTACGATTCAGGCGGCTATAGGACTACGCACCTAAACTAACATGGGTTGTGAATAACGGGCTGCTATTTTTAGATGTCTTTTCTTCTTCTTTAACATAGTAACAGAGTGCATCATTCATGACACTACAGTCAAGTGCATCTCATTACTCCTAACCTATCCCAACCCACTATATCCAAATGCCATCCGCAAACATCAACAACTACACTCCCTCCCCTTTACCACTCAAACTTCTCCCCATACCTCCCAATAAATCCCCCAACATCCGCATCCCTCTCCCCCCGCACAATCTCCAACAACGCCACCGCACTCGTCTCCGAACTCTCAATCCCATTCTGTACCCTATTTTCCCTATCGTCCGCTATGTCCGTGACCACGTACCCCGGACAAAACGTCCAGACCTTGAAGCCATCAGGCTTAAGCTGGTAGTGCTGGTACGCCGTCAGCATATTCAGCGCTGCTTTACTCATGCGGTACCCTGGGAACCGGACACCAGCATGTTCGTGGCTGTGGTCTGATTTCATGGCGATACTACCCATCGATGAGCTGACGTTTATGACGCGCGGGTTAGGAGATTTTTTGAGGAGGGGGAGGAGAGAGGTAGTGAGGAGGGTGGGTCCGAAGACGTTTGTTTCGAAGATTGTACGCAGGTACTCGCGGTTGGGGGGCCATTGCTCGTCGCGTTCTGGGCAGACGCCTGCGTTGTTGATCAAGACGTCGAGGTGCGGGAAGTCTTGTTCGAGCTTTTTGGTTGCTGAGGAGATGGAGGTGTCGTCTGTGACGTCGAGTTGGATGAGGGATACTGTTCCTTGGATGGGTTTGGATTGGATGTCTTTGAGGACGGTTTCGCCTTTGGACAGGTTGCGTGCGCCGATTATGACGTGGTATTTTGGGGAGGTGGAGACGAAGTGGATTACGGTGTCAAGACCGATGCCGTTTGTTCCGCCTGGAGAGGTTTTGTCAGTACTTCGTCTTTGGGTTTCACGAGGAGATAGATGGATCATACCAGTGACGAGGACGATTTCCTTCCCAGTTTGAGCCGGCATTTTGAATTGGTTTGGTATGTATGTACAATGAATGGGGTTATATGACCGGATAGAAATTGATAGTTTCTTGGGATACTCTATGTTCTTGTATAACAGACAATATTTATACACTTCCCACTTATGGGACGCCTTGTTCGCGTGTTCGGTCCGTTCCAAGTAACCAACACCACTAAGCCTCTATCGTTCATGACGTGTCGGATCTGGCGAAATCCCAGTCACGAGACATATGCAGTATGTACTCCGGTGTAGGATTTGGTAAAGTCGCAAAATGAGCGGATATAGCCAATACTAAGTCCGACGGAGATAAGGTTGTGGTGGTCACTGTGAGTGCTTGCCGAGACGGCTCGAGTACCTCGCCTACAAGTAGATGCCTTCTGTAAGTACACGTTTTGTAGCTGTTCCGCAATTTCCCATCATTTCAAAGGAATGCTTACCTGTGGGAAAGAGAGTGCTTATTTCTATTGAATCAATCAGAGCATTTATTAACAGCACCGTTTTCATGTCCTCAAACCATACATACCTGAGTACTAAAATTTATCAAGCGTCTTTGGAAAAGCATATTATCCAGGTCTGGTCTATGGTCATAGGTGCCATAATGGCAGGAATTACTCAGAGATCGGTATGTATCCCCACACAATTATTGCTCAAATTCATATGGAGATGTTTCAATGACTTCAAGCTGCACTGCTTCCATTTTTCGTGCAGGTTAGAGTGTGAGTGCGACCAGTGGTTGGGCCGATGAGCCGCGTGGGGCAACAGAGGCTAGTGTTGCGCAACAAGACGTCATACTCTGTAGTACAACGACATTTATGTCTACGCGCATCTAATACAGCCCACCGAATATCGCATCTCTCCCAGTCAATGCTACGTGTTCGTGCATAGTGCTGCCGAAGAGATGCCTTCCCTTGTTCGAAAGCTGCTCATTTTCGCAGCTGTGGATGGCCTGATCCTGCAACCCTCCCCGCCCCGCAATCATCCGCCCACGACACAACAGGCCATCAAAGTCGACTACAAGGGCAACGTCGGGCCACTACTAAAGGACAGACGCGAGGAAGACACCACACCTATATCTGTCGAGGCACATGGCATAATTGGTATGGGCGCTTGTATGGGCGCATTGCAACGCTCACAAGTTACTAACAAGTCGAATAGGGCTTCTCAAAATCGCGACATCGCACTTCCTAATCTCCATATCCGATCGCGAACAGGTCGCGCAAATACGTGGAAAAGCTGTTTACAAGATTACTGATGTCGCCCTCATTCCCCTCTCTTCCCAGGCCGATGCCGATAAGGCCATTGCAGCCACTCGTGACCATCTGAGGCGTCGCAACAAGTCGCCAGGTGCTGAGGATGAAGATACCGAGAGCGAGGGCGACGAAGATGCGCCCAGTGTGACCGATTCAGTCGTCGGAGATCTACCTCCAGCATCAAATGAAGTCACAGACCCAGTTACTGGGCGAAAAAGTAGTCCTTTACAAAAAACCAGCGTTGCCGAAGATGTCATACAACGGAAAGGTGTATATGGGAGATTTGCTGACAAGTGGTTCTCTCGAAAGGGTTGGAGTGCAGACAACAGGCGTCTGCAAGGATTCACCTCAGAAGAAAATCTGGCCGCCAGGTATGCAAGGCAGGATGCCGATCCAGCCGTGCCGAAAGAGCAACAAGGACCTGAGGGCGAATCAAAACCGGATGCGATCCCGACCGAGGATGAAAACGTACCCCAAGAAGTCAGCCCTACAGCAATACCAAAAGCACTGGGCGGCAAGAATGACGCAGCAACAATAGCATTGTTGCCCAAGATCTTGCAGACGACGAAGATGTACTTTGCATCGGGTAACTTTTTCTATTCATACGACTATGATATTTCGAATGGCATCGGCCAGCAGCAGCCTAGTTCGAGCGTGCCACTCTTCAAACAGTTTGATCCTTTGGTCAGTCAGTATCTCACATACGTTTTGTGCACCCATTGACCTCTTTCCAGTTTTTCTGGAACCAGAACATAATTTCTCCTTTTATTGAGGCCGGTCAGCACTCTTTTGTACTCCCAATCATTCAGGGCTTCGTTGGACAGCGACCTTTCACCCTCAAGACCACAGATTCACAGTCTGGCAGTCTCGTGGTTGATCCAAGCGCAACACCAGACGACATACAATTGCAGCCTTGGTTAGAGAAGCAAAAACAGGAGACACAGCAAGCAGAGGGTGAGAACACCGACATCAGCTCAGAGCAGGACTCTTTCGCCCAAGGCAAAGACTTTTTGTTAACACTCATTTCACGTCGCTCGACCAAGCGCGCTGGACTTCGCTACTTACGTCGTGGCACAGACGATGAGGGCTGCACCGCGAACAGCGTCGAGACTGAGCAGATACTTTCAACTCCAACTTTTGACACGACCAAAGATAAGATATTTTCTTTTACGCAGTTCCGCGGATCCATACCATTGTTCTTTTCTCAGTCGCCATACAGTCTTAAGCCTCAAGTCACTACCTGGGGCTCTTTTGAGACGAATGCACTTGCTTTCAAACGGCACTTTCTTGACCTGTCGTCGCGGTACGGAGATATATACTGTGACTCGTTGATTGACAAACACGGTACGGAGGCGAAGATTGGCGAGCTGTATGAGCAACATGCAAAGGCACTCAACGAGAACGGGGGTATCGACGGAAAAGGCAAACAGCTAGGATTTGAGTGGTTTGACTTCCATAATGTCTGCCGTGGAATGAGGTTTGAGAATGTCTCTAGGCTGATGGACTCGATTGAGCCTTTCATGAAATCGTCGGGTTGGGTTGAGATTGCGGATGATCAAGTACAGCAAAAACAGACTGGCATTTTGCGAACGAACTGCATGGACTGTCTGGACCGTACCAATGTGGTTCAATCAGCTTGTGCTAGAACTGCTCTGGAGGCACAATTGTCCTTGGGCAACTACCACATCGATCTTCAGCACGACCCTAGTACTTCGTGGTTCAATACCCTGTGGGCGGACAATGGCGATGCCATCTCGAGACAATATGCCGGTACAGCTGCGCTTAAGGGCGACTTTACACGAACGCGTAAACGACAGATTACTGGTGCTCTGACGGATTTTGGATTGACTCTGACTCGTTATTACAACAACATTGTCAATGACTACTTTGCCCAAGCACTCATCGATTACCTTCTTGGTCGCGCGACCGACACCATATTTTCCGAGTTTGAAGCGGACATGAAGAGTTCGGACCACTTTGTTGATCTGCGCAGAGTAAGACAGCAAGCCATCGAGCGCTCGGCAGGCATCGTCATTGAAGACCATGACGAGGATTTGGTCCAGGGCTGGACGTTGAGTGTACCCACTGCCGCAAACCAAGTGAAGACAACGACCTTCGAAGAGGCGATTCTTCTTCTCACAGAAAAGGCTTTGTACTTTTGCCGTCTGGACTGGGGTACCGAGAAGGTACGAGAGTTTGAGCGCATCCCGCTTGAAAACGTACAGGGCCTCATGCGTGGTGTTTACATCACGTCAACCCTAGCTCAGCGACACATGGACACCGACAAGAATGTGGGGCTCATCATCCGGTACCGACCAGACAGCCGCGGCAAGCTGGTACGCAGAAACACTAGAGTGCTGGATTCGGAGCCCGGTGACGATTCAGCTAAAGATGAGGCTCAAAAGGCTCCCAAACAAGATGATGCCAGTGGCCGATTCCTAGCGTTTAAAGCGTTACCAGCGCACAGTAGTGTTCCTGTTGCATCTGGCGATGCAGTCGAGGATGAGACCGAGATTGTCAAGTCGGTTTGCGATGAGATTGCGCGGGTCGCTAATGGCGTGCGCAGGGGAGTGGGTGAAGGGGATCGAAAGGTGGAGATTGAAGAGAAGGATATTATCAGCCTTGGGGACGCGAAGAAGAGTACCGGTTACCTGGAACAGTTTGAATATTCGTTGAAGAAGCTTGTTTGGGGATAATAAGTAGATGGATGCCCTGTATGTTTGGCACCATGTAATTTCCCAGGTGAAGACCTGGTCTAATAGACTATTCGTTTCCGCAAGACAATGTACCCATCATCTTCCGAGTCGGTCGTCCTGATTATTCTTACAGCCATCGGCATCGCCATAATCGAACAGTGTATCTTATTCGTTGTCGCTCCACTCAATATCTTCCATGCCGTCGTCAACGCCCTCGCCCTCTTCATGTTCGCCCTGTTCCTCGCTCGGAAACTGTACAAGGCCAAGCTTGAAAGTCTTAGATTCAAGGCCAGTAGGTTGAAGTGCCCAAAGCGCAGCCTCTACTTCCATGTTACGCGGCATCGATTGTGCGCTCCATTCGTTATTGGCCGACTCAAACCTTGCAGGTGGAATGTCAGTCCAAGAACAGCAAGGAAGGCCCCACCTCTGACAATTTGTACAAACATCAATGCCTGGTACCATCTTGCACCCCACCTCATAGCCATCCACCTCTGGGATGTGTGACGTAATCCAGCAAAATTCGCATTCAGTGCGGTAACCAGAAACACCCTTTGCTTCTCCCTGCTTCCCATCGAGACTGAACTTGACCATCTGTGCTTTGATGGCCGCACTAGATAGCTTCTCTACAGACAAAATCCGAAGAGATGGATCGGGAGGACCGAAACTGATGGACGTATTGGACGCTCGGGTTCAGCGTGTGCGGGGCAGGGCCAATGGATCCACCATCTCGCTGAAGTTTGAACATGGGTCCAGCGCCTCGGAAGATATCGTTTGGCGTACCCGGTGGGAAGAAAATCACGTTGCTCTGTAGACAGGCGATATGAGAATGTGTGTGGTGCCTCGAGTCGCTGTCACTCACTCACTGGTCTTGACTGCCACAGCGCTAGGGGATAGGTTGCTTGTTTCCCTGTGGCGGGTGTTGTAATCGTTTGACTCTTGCTTACGACGGGTGGTTGAGCCTTGGATTACTGTGGTATCGCTGCTGATGTTGTCGCGATTGAGTACAGAGGTGGGGCTGTTGTTGTTATTGTTGTCTTGAGGAAATGTGAGATCCTCTTAGCTGGGAAAGAGCAAACGAAGTGAGAGTACGCCCGCGCACGCGCCCACGCGCGCAAGACAAACGATTGTTACTAGTGCATGATTCTGTGATTGATTTCATCTAAGTGAAAATGCGCTCTGCAGCCTATGTATGCCGGGGATTATACCAAGATTGCGACTTCTATCGACCACCTCTCAACTTCTGCCCTCTAGGTTGGCTAATCACTGACTGATGCTAAGAAAAGGTCGGAGTATCTGCTGCTTTGCATTCTTTTACATACCCGAGATCTTTAGTATCTAGCTCATGCTGGCTCTCAACTAGAATTAGTTGATCATATCTCACATTTGTTACATGTGAGGTGAAACGACCACGGGACCGACACAGCGGATGTACTACAGTTGTACGCTACAAGAGCAAGTGTGGAGAAGAAGAATGCGGGTGGCTTTGGCCTTGGGTTTCCGAGTAAGCTTTCGATCGGCAACACAATGACTTGGTTGGGCAATGCACCCGCTTTGCTTAATTACGTCTCATGTGCAAGGAACATGGGACGTCATGTTGTATGTGGAGCCGCGATAGACGGGTGAATACGGGTTGAGCAAAGCAACAACACTATGATTTGTAGTGGTTGAGTATCGGCCGGACGTCGTGATGTTGCAGTGTAAAGCCATCTTCTTTCTTTTCCTCCTTTTCTTCTTCTTCTCCGCAAGTCTTTCTCCTCACTAAGTGTGTGTGGTAGACTCCACTCTTGCACTGGAGCTATGTGCTGACTACCACCCAGTACCCAGTTTTCTGCATCTTGTCGGTATGCGCTAGAAACACGAGCACATGCAACATGCAACGCCCGCCTTGTTCATACATGATGGTGGGGATAGTATCGGGGGAACCTAGCTTCTCACCAGTTATGAGGACAATGAAACGATCCGAATCGCAACCCAATGATGATACATGGCACAGCGCAGAAGACTTGACCAAGCATACCACCCACCATAAATCCATACCACACCAGACAACGCCAGCCTCAAGCGTGCCTCGGCGCAAAGCTTGAGATGTGGATTCGACGGGAGGCGCTTCCAACGTCCAACGCCGACTGCAACATGGATCCACCCGTAAAAGCGGATCACAACCACTTGATTGGCTACACCTTGCTTATAACCGCAACCTACCGACGTCATCAGTGGAAACCTCATCACACATATCGCGCGAATTGGCAACCAGGCCCACTTTCGTTTTGCGCGCGAAGAAAAAAAAATCAGTACCGGATGGGGCGTGTGAGAGGAGAACACTGTGGGTGTCTGGAGTCTGGAGAGATTATGGAGAGAAAGGGGGGAAGCTTTTTGCGGAGAGTGCGGAGGAGCCCAACATCGATACATACACGCGCGACCAAGGGAATTAAGTAACTAAATAGTAGTAGAATTACGGTACTGACCGAACACGCCATACGGTTACTGATCGATCGAAGCCCTGCTTTTTCTCTCATCATGCACAAGACGGACCTCTGATTCCCCCCTGCTTCCGCAACCCGTCGCCCGTCGCCAGCGGCCTCGGCATCAAGTCCCCCCCCAACCAAGCCACGAGTCGCAACGACAAGCACTAAATCACCCCGGTCGTGTCAGGGCTTGACATTTCTTCTTTGCGCCCCGCGAGATCCACGTTATTGCTTGGCTTCTCCCCAATCACTGACTGGTTGTCCGGAGGCTATACCAAGCTTGGTAGCGCATCAGCAGGTACACACCTCAGTTCTGTCTGTGGATGTGGGTGTGTCCCGACAAGGCCCCAACCAAGGCATTACCAATGCCGGGACAAGAGTCAAATGTCCGCCTTGCGGGGCTCCCACGTTGGCCTTTTCCGGGACCTGACTATGGCCCGCGTTTGTGGTTCCCAGTCTGGCGGGGTGTGGGCAGCTATGGGTATATAAGACTCGCCGTGCGCCCGGGTTAGTTTTGTTGGTTGTTTCTTCTTTCTACTGCGCTTGTTCGAGACGAATGTGACGGGGCAATCATGTATCAGATTGGGAATATCTATGGTATCACGGCTATTGCCGTTATTGGTGGTGGGTTGTTTGGGTTTGATATTAGCTCTATGAGCGCTATGTATGGTGATTGTTCCCTTTATTCCCACTGCTTGAAGACTGACGGAGATAGTTTACCGACTCAACAATACCGATGTTACTTTAATCAGGGACCGTTGGGTCCGCCTTTTACAGGGCCTGAGGATGCGTGCTCTGGACCTAAGGCTGATGTGCAGGGTGGTATCACCGCTGCGTAAGTGTTCATTACCACAACCAGTATATCATTCTAACACGACACAGTATGCCCGGTGGATCCTTCGTCGGTGCTCTCGTATCTGGATACCTGACTGATAAGCTGGGTCGTCGTCGCGCGATCCAGATCGGCTGCCTCATCTGGATCATCGGATCCATAATTTCTTGTGCAGCCCAGAACATCGGCATGCTCATTGTCGGTCGCTTTATTAACGGTCTCTCTGTCGGTATCTGCTCTGCTCAAGTCCCTGTCTACATATCTGAACTAGCGCCTCCGTCCCGCCGTGGTCGCGTTGTCGGAAGTCAACAGGTAAGCGTTCACAACCCACAACACCACAACACCCGCAACACATTTTGAGCATTTGCTGACCGTGTATCGGGAAACGGTGGTCGATAACTTGGGGTATCCTCCTGATGTTCTATATCTCCTACGGCTGCAGTTTCTTGGATGGACCGAAGGCCTTCCGTATCCCATGGGCCCTGCAGATGATCCCAGCCATTATCCTTGGTTTCGGCCTTGTATTTCTCCCCGAATCCCCCCGATGGCTTGCGCGCCATGACCGCTGGGAAGAGACTCAAGCTGTTCTTGTGCTGGTTCATGGAAAGGGTGATCCCAACAGCCCGTTTGTCAAGCTCGAAATGGATGAGATCCGCCAGGCGATTGAGTTCGAACGCCAGAACGCCGATGTCACTTTTATGGAGCTATTCAAGCCCAATATGATCAACCGTCTTCATATTGGTGTCTTTACCCAGATCTGGTCCCAACTCACTGGAATGAATGTCATGATGTGAGTACCTCATGGGCACATCAAACCAACATCAAACCAACTGACAATGACACAGGTACTACATTACTTATTTGTTCGGTATGGCCGGGCTCAGCGGAAATGTTAACCTCGTTGCGAGCTCCATTCAATATGTCATCAACGTAATCATGACTGTACCGGCCCTCCTCTTCATGGACCGTTGGGGACGCCGCCCCATGTTCGTCATAGGCGCCACCCTCATGATGACCTGGATGTTCGCTAATGCCGGTCTCATGGCTTCTTACGGCAAGCCTGCACCCCCCGGTGGTCTCAATAACATTGCCGAGCAATCGTGGGAAATTGGCGGCGCCCCTTCGAAGGCCGTAATTGCCTGCACCTACCTCTTCGTAGCTTCCTACGCACCCACCTGGGGACCAGCATCATGGGTCTACCCCCCTGAGATCTTCCCGCTCCGTATCCGCGGCAAAGCCGTTGCGCTGTCGACCTCCGCAAACTGGATCTTCAACTTTGCCCTATCCTACTTCGTTCCCCCAGCCTTCGTCAACATCCAGTGGAAGGTGTATCTCATCTTTGGCTGCTTCTGCGCTGCAATGGCTATCCATACGTTTTTGCTTTTCCCAGAGACTGCTGGAAAAACGCTTGAAGATGTGGAGGAGATGTTTATGACGAGGATCCCTGCGTATAGGACGAGGGTTGAATACAGCTCTACGAGGAATGCCGAGAGGGGACGGTTTGGAGAGAAGGGAGCTGGGCTGGAGCAGAGTCCGGAGAGGATGGAGAATGCTGAGGTGAAGGTTTAAGGGGTGTGAGGGGATATTAGGATGTGAGAGATGTGAGAGGAGATCGATGATGGCGTTGTTCTATAGTCGAGATGGCCTTGTAGCTTTGATAATACCCAATCGCAATGTTTCGAGAAGTATTCGTTGCATCTGCATATTTTTTCTTCTCTCCCTCCAAAACTAAAAAGAAATCCCAGATATCGAAGACAATTCCAGTATCAAAGCCAATTTCTTTTCGAATTTCGAGACACCAGAGAGGTGTTTCCAAGCTTTAGCGCTGAAGAAGCATTCTCCAATTCTCCTTAACTAACCATTGTAATTCTCTGAGCTAAAAAAAAATACTGTATCTAGCTACTTTAGATAAACCCTAGCAGCTAATGGAAATCATCAAGGTACGTTTCCCACGATGAACTGGAATATTGCTGCCTTGTGGGAACGACAGATATATAGGATGCCTAATAGAAAAAGGGAAATCACATGATGACCTGACACTAGATATATATTCTCCTTGAATAACAATACTAGTGCTAGGACAAGGCTAAATTACTTTAAACACAGCCACTGTTACATCCGCATTCTAGAAACGGCTGCAACCCGTCATCCGGCAGCAACGGCAAGTGGATCCCACCCCCTCACCAGCCCAGGCCGGCACTCTCAAACCACGCAAGCGAAACCGCGCGCCCCCCCCGGCCGCCGCCCGTTGCATCAGCGGGCTTGCAGCCGCGCAACGCAATCCCCCTTCGCAAGCAGCACCACCATGTCTGCTTCGCGCGAGTCGAGCACGACTTCTGCCTCGTCGCCCAGCGAGGACGCGCCGAGCGTCGAAGCGCTATTTCTGATCCGCTTCGACAAGAAAGTCGGGTACGTCATTTTTTGGACCTCAGATTCCCTTTTTTAAGCCGAGTACCTTAACTACATACCTGATGTGAGAGAGCTACCAGCAAACTGACACAACAGACGTACAGGTACACTGTGAGTTGGAAACGCACCGCGACGCCGGATATCGAGCTCGAGAATGCGGTGGAATATAAATCGTTGCCGTCGGGATTGCATTCTGTGCAGAGCGATCTCGTGTACTTTACGCATCAGGGATATGCTGGGCTGAGCGCGTTTGCGAAAGGCGAGGCGGGGGATGAGGAGCGCAATGCCAAGTTCATTTCTGTAGGGGTGCTGGTGAAGAAGGAGGGCGAGTTTGGGCGGTTGGGACGGGCGTGGTTGCTTGCGGGGCGGTTGGAGAAGATGGCTGCAGCGCTGGCCGAGGATGCGGACACGGTGGCGCCGTTGGAGGAGTTTTGGAGGGAGCAGGTTGAGAGGAGGGGGTATGGCAGTGAGGATGGGGATGGGGAGGGGAAAGGATATAGTAGGGAACGCGCCATTTCGACGGTCAGCGCAGCGCTCAAGGATGAGGAGAGCTTGCCGGCGTATCATCCTGCGCTGTCTATCCAGCGCTTTCTGGATGTGTTTGGGCCATTGGTGTTTCGGTTGCAGCAGGCTGCGCTGTTGAGGAAGAGGATACTGTTTGTGGGCATTCCGCCTGTCAGGACGGCTTGCGAATTCGGTATGTTCTGCTGGCTATGCAGCGCATTGATTGAGCTTGATGCTAACAGGGACAGTGTACAATCTCTCCATCCTCTCAAGCATATCACCACGCGACACCGAGCTCCTCACGCCCGGCACGGAAGAGCTGTTGCGCCTGCCCTGCCTCTTCTCGGTCGGTGTACATGAAATCCCATACCTCGAAGACCTGAGCAAGCCAAAGCATAGCAGACATACTCCAGGTGACGAGACGTTGGCTGGATGGGTGGCATGCACGACGGATGAAATCATCACCACCAAGACCAAGCTGTACGACATCATCGTCGAGCTCCCACATACATACGATGCGCCACCGCAAGAAAGACGCTGGCCACGGATACGGACGAGCGACGGCAGTCTGGTCAAGGCTAGCCAACGGGATGTTTCACGCTACAAAATGCTGCATAGGGAGTTATACAAGCATCGTAACCGGTCACAGACAGCACCTGAATCGTATAGAGACGATGAAGACGACGACGCGGCACCGCTACTGTCACACGACGAGGTGTTGGGCCAAGGCGCCGACGATGACTTCAACGAAGCATACGACGAGACAGTTGTTGAGCCAATGACTTGGTCACGGCTTGCATACATGGGCTACATGTGGTGGGCATCCGCGGGCGAGAGGGATGCATACGCGACTGCAGAGCACGAGGCGGATCGCGAGCTCATTGGCGACTTGGCCGAGTACTCTCAGTCGTTGGAAACAGCAATTATCGCATACTTTCACCGCCAGTCCTCGCTACTCATCCAGTCTCTGGCGCAAATCATCGAGGCCGACGAACAGGGCGAGCGCGACTGCGACGACGACGATGACGACGGCAAGGCACTGATTATAGACCAGGACGACCTGTCACGCATGGGACTCGATACCTGGTCAGAAGCGGACCGGGCGTTTGTGCAGGAGTTTGGCAGTCTCTACTTTGGACGCACTGTTGGGGTCAAGGGCAGCGAGATTGACTGCTGCGGGTTGAGGGTGCCTGTGTTCTAAGCAGGGATCAGGACCGGTGAAACAGACATACTGTGAGCTGAGGTGGTGTGTGTCTGTTTGTATGTATTTACATGGATACGGGCGTTCTTTTTTGTAACCAGCGGCGTCTTTGGTGTCGAATTGGAGTCTGCGCTAGACGGCGTTCCTGAAATACCCGCTCGGCCTTGTCTTGATTTGCGTTCCCACACACACACACACACCCCGCAGGCCAAAGTGTTGAGCACGCTCTCTGCGGGCTCGTCTCTACATAGGCTGATATGCCTCCTTCGGCTGGCCATGCACACTGCAGTTCGTCTACGTCTTCTCTGTCCCGTGTAATATCCCTTTAGACGTCTCGTATGCAATTAATACATAACCTCGGATTGGCCGGCTGGCTGCCATCTTCGCCAGCCGAAGTCGGACCCCGCAATTGGAGAGCACAGGCCGCAAGCGATTTTCTGCGCCCCGCATCGTCATATGCCATTCACTGGACGGCTTAGGCGCGTTGAATCACCGAGCACCAGACTTTTTTCTTTTTCCTTCTAGGATGTGATTCATACCACCGTACTTTTTTACTAATTAGTCCCAACTCTGTGCCGTCTGTCTCTTCATATATTCACCGTATACCCTCCTGACGTCTTCGTCTTCTCATCCGACTTTATACTAACACGACTTGCATTCATCGTCGCTTAGCGTGAGCCAGTCGACTTTGACTCAAGAAAAAAGAGCAATCCGCGCGACCACACGTCAACATGCCGATGCTTGCAGAGCCATGGAAAAAGTACCAGCCATTTAAGCCATTACATCTGCCGGACAGGACATGGCCTAACAAGACTATTGACAAGCCGCCGCGCTGGCTGTCGACCGATCTGCGAGATGGCAACCAGAGTCTAGTCGACCCGATGGTATGTCTGCATCCGCTGCACCTAACAGCATGCACTAACACGGGCCCCAGGACGGAGCGCAAAAATGGGACTACTTCCAGATGCTCGTCAAGCTTGGCTACAAGGAAATCGAAGTCTCGTTTCCCTCGGCGTCGCAAACTGACTTTGACTTTACACAACGCCTCATCCAGACGCCCGGCATAGTCCCCGACGATGTCGCCATACAGGTCCTCTCGCCCTGCCGCAAGGAGCTCATCCGCCGAACCGTCGACTCCCTCAAGGGCGCTCGCAACGCCATCCTCCACTTGTACCTTGCCACGAGCCCGTGCTTCCAGCAGATTGTCTTCGACATGAACAACGAGCAGACGATTGCTCTTGCCGTCGAGTGCACAAAGTACGCGCGATCGATTACAAAGGACGATCCTGAGCAGGCTGGCACCCACTGGTCGTATGAGTTTTCTCCAGAGACGTTTTCAGACTCGTCGCCAGAGTTTGTCATTGAAGTCTGCGAGGCGGTCAAGGCTGCATGGGAGCCGTCAGTCGAGAACCCAATCATCTTCAACCTGCCAGCTACGGTTGAAATGTCTACGCCTAACGTGTACGCCGACCAGATTGAGTATTTCTGTAAGAACATTAGCGAGAGGGAGAAGATTTGCGTGTCGCTGCACCCACACAACGACCGTGGTTGCGCTGTTGCGGCTGCGGAATTGGCCCAAATGGCAGGCGCAGACCGTGTAGAGGGCACGCTGTTTGGCAATGGAGAGCGTACTGGAAATGTCGACCTTGTCACTCTTGGCCTGAACCTGTACACGCAGGGAATCCACCCCAAGATTGACTTTTCCGACCTCAAGTCAGTCATTGACATGGTTGAGAGCTGTAACAAGATCCCAGTCCATCCTCGTGCGCCGTATGGTGGTCAGCTTGTCGTGTGCGCTTTTAGTGGCTCACATCAGGACGCTATCAAGAAGGGATTCCAAATGCGCAAGAAGAACGGCGCCACAAACGAGAGCCGATGGCAAATCCCATATCTCCCTCTGGACCCACAGGATATCGGCCGTACATACGAAGCTATCATCCGTGTCAACTCACAAAGTGGAAAGGGAGGTATTGCTTGGATCATCCAGCGCCAGCTCGAACTCGACCTCCCGCGTGGTCTGCAAATTGCCTTTTCCAAGATTGTGCAAAAGGAGACGGATATGCTTGGCCGCGAGCTTTTGCCTAGTGAGATTACGGCTCTTTTCGAGGAGGCGTACCATCTCAAGCGCAACCCCCGCTTCTCTCTTGTCGACTACGAGATCAAGGCCGATCGCTCGGCGACTCCTCAACCGCCGCAAGAGGGTAGGACCGTCAGCACCCAGAACCTGCGCCGTATCTTTACCGGTGTTATCGAGATTGACGGTCAAGAACACAACATTCGCGGTTCGGGAAACGGTGCTCTGTCGTCGCTGGCTGATGCGCTGAGGAGTCTGGGTATCGATTTGGATGTTGTAGACTACAATGAGCATACGATTGGTACGAGCAAGGATGCCAAGGCAGCGACGTACATTGGATGTACTGCTGCCCAGAGCAGCCACAAGGTTTGGGGTGTGGGAATCCACCAGGATGTGGTTCAAGCGTCTCTGATCGCCATGTTGAGCGCTGCTTCTTCGGTGAGTCTAATAGTGGGGTTTGGGGACTGAGGGAGATGCTGACTGATTATAGTTCTTATCATCGAGACCAACAACACCTATTCCCTTCCGCCCTAAGCGATCGAATACTCTGGAGATTCCCACCCCAGGATCGAGCCCAACACATGGTTCAAAGAAAGAAAATGGCGCTTCTGTTGTAGATAAGCTGGAGGCTGCAGTAAATGGCGAGCAGGCTGATGTTCAGAGCGCGGGTGTGTAAGCATATGACGTCGTTTGTGATTTGTTTATCATTCCCAGTTTGCATTTATCCATATCGCATGTGGTACGGGGTGTTTTATCCAAAAGACACGATCTGAGTGTCGAAAAGTGTGATTTAGGTATCTAGAATATATCCATCATCTGGATCAGATCTGCTTTTCTGTATCCGTGTTGTATGCTTGTTCCCGATAAGAAAGTGAATCTACAATCAGTCACTGTGTAACCCCCCCTCCCGACATCGGATGCTAATGTACGGTTACCACCGGCTTTGAATCCCGTACATACCCAATCCTGCATATCCAACCTAGTCCCATGTAACCACAGTCCATCGTATCAATCTTTGTCTATCATCAATATCAAACACCACAACCCGTATCCCCCTTCCCACCACCACCACCACCTAACAATGCCACCCTCCAACGACACACCCCCAACCCCCGCCTACTTCCCCACCTCCCCCTCGTCCCCCCTCCACCCCCCTTCAACCCTCTACTCAACCCTCCGCTCCCTCCCCGCCACCTCCCTCAAACAAACACACACGCACCTCATCCCCCCCCGCTCCGCCCACGCCTTCCGTGTCCCCGCCGGCGCCCTCTTCCGCCTCACCACACCCTCTGGCCCCCAAGTCGGGGACCTAAACATCTGGAACGCATGCGACCCGCGCGAACGGTTCTGGGCAGCGCGTACCAGGCAGTTGCAGAGTAGTCATGTTGGGGTGGGGGATCGGCTGTGGAGTTGTTTGCCGTTTTTGAGACCGCTTTGTGGGGTTGTGGATGAGTCGTGTGGGTTAGGGGAGAGGGGAGACGGGGTGGATGGGAGGGGGAAGGAGAGGAGCAAGTGGGGAGGGAGGTGTCATGATTTGTTGGGGACAAGGTGTGATCCTTATGGTAAATCTTTATCTCCTTTTTTTTTTTACTTTCATGTTCCCTCCTCCCCCTTTAGTACGCGTGTGGTCAAGTAGCTAAAGCAAAGAAACGATCAGTGTCACATATGCTTACGGGCGCGAGCTACGATTTTCACTGCCACTCCAATCTCGTGCGTGCGGTGCTTCCGTTTGGCCTTACCGAGTTCGACGTCCACGATGTACTGAATGTGTTTCAAGTCACCGGGCTGGATGAGCAAGGGAGGTACTTTATGGAGGCTAGTCCGGCGACCGAGGAGAGTTATATTACGTTTTTCGCAGAGGAGGATTTGCTGTGTGCGTTGAGTACGTGTCCCGGTGGGGATTTGAGTGCGTGGGGGTGGCATCAGGCGGAGGAAGGGAAAGGAGAGGGCGAGGAGCCGGATATGAAGAGTACGTGTCGGCCGATTCGGGTCGAGGTGTTGGAGATTGAGGAGGGGGTGAGGAAGGAAGTATTGAAAGATTGGAAGAGGCCCGAGAAGAGTGGGTATGTGGGTATGCATGGGATGAGGATTCCGACTGGGGAAGAGTAAAAGCGATGATGATATGGTTGGCGACAAAGAAACTCTCTCTACAACTTGACATTTCCGTGAATCTTGCCCCCGTCAAGCACAATCGTGTCACCATTGACATGGCTTCCCGCCCTGGAACTCAGAAATACGACCGCGGCAGCGATATCTTCGGGCCTGCCTACCCGTCCGTTCGGACTCGCCTTGCCCAGCGCCTCTTCTCCACCCGCCTGCTGCATCACCACATCCGTCATCTTGCTCGCGAAGAAGCCGGGCGCAATGCCCGTGACGAGAACGTGGCGCGGTCCCAGCTCGACAGCCAGGTTGCGCACAAGGTGCAGCACGGCAGCTTTGGACACGGCGTACGAAAAGGCGGCTGAATCACCACCGACCGAGCCCGTGCTAATTCCCGCAACGCTACCTGTTACGATCACCCGCGCGGGATCTTGAACTGAAGCTGCCTTTGTGAGCAACGGGGCGAATCTAAAATTCGAATGTCAACGAACGTCCTCCAATCCTCTTGTTCTTTGCTTTTCCCCTCAATATGAATCGGTTCTTTCCGTTTTTTCCGTTCTTTTGCTCATGCTTTTTTCTTTGTCCCGGACGCCTTATCAGATTCTGCTTCTAATCCTGGACGAACCTCATACTTGAAGGGGGGACGGGGAGATAGGGTGGAGGGAAAAAGTCCGGAAACAAAAAACATACTTTTGGATTGTAAAAAATACGCCCTTGACGTTCAGATCCATGACGCGGTCCCAGCCATTCTTCTCATCGACAGCGTCAAACCTACTGCCCCATGTCGCCCCCGCATTTGCAAACAAAATGTCCACGTGATCGGTGTGCTTGGCTATCTCGCCCACCAGCCGGACGATCTCGGAGACTTTGGAACTATCGGCGGGAACGGAGTAGGCTTTTGCGCCCGGAGATTTGTTTGGCAGGGCGTTGAGGGCGGACGCGGCCGCGTCGCATGCCGAGGCCTTGCGCGAGGTGATGAAAATCTTGGAGCAGCCGGCTTGCATGAGACTTTTGATTTTCGCGGGAGAGAGTTAGTTTTTTTCTTCTCTTTATCGAGCGTTGTTTGTTTATCGTGGCATCGTGAAGGTTATTTTTGGATGCGTGCAGAAAGTATGCATGGTACACACCCTGATGCTGCGTGGAGCCCTAGGCCTCGCGAGCCGCCGCTGACGACGGCGACTTTGCCTTTGAGGCTGAAGATGTTGGCAAAGTCTTGAAGCTGGACATCTTGTTCTGCCGATGACATGGTTGATGATCACGTGTGAATTAGAGTTGTGACAGATGCTTTGTAGAGCGTGGTAATGGCGCCGAGCGAAAAAAGAAAAAGTAAGAAAACAGACTGGAAACTAGAGGCTGGCCTGATAGACCCTTAGTAGTATAACAACCCTGTTTGCGACCTCGGCCTTGTCGTTCACCGTGCAAAGGGTGTACCGAGGCAGTTTACCACGCTAACTGCAATGGCTCCAAGCAGCCAAAGACGTCCAGAGGGACTTTTTGTTCAACTACATGGCGGAACAAGACACAAAGAGCACTGCATGGTACATGGTGGATGCAAAAGTCAAGCAGATAAGCATTGGTGGGGTGTGTGTGTGTGTATCATGTTAGAAGAGTGGGCTGTAAAGATCTCAGCCCTATCGCATGTTTGATGATTTGCACAACGTTTCGCCTAGACCTACCGTGTCATGCATTTGGACTAGCGGTCGGATGTAAGCAGGGCAGCAAGTGCAAGCAATGGTCCCTGGTTCCAAAGGCCACATGGTGGATGGTGGTTGCCTCGTATTTTTCCGAGTGGTTGAGTGGAGGTGGTCGAGTTAAGGTTTGGGGGTTCATTGAGCCACTCGGTCGGGTCATTGCACAGTGGCAACTTCAACCCGGTGGTGTCGGTAAGACAGGTCTCACCTTGTGAGGCGCGCAGCAGCTGTGCCTGGCGTGACTACCAAGATATTTGTCATGAATGTCGTGCGAGCATCATAGACGGGAAGGGAAATGAGGCCATCAGGCGAGGCGGACATGGAAGCTGTGAAATACCGCGATCGCATGCCGTGGGGTGGGGTGCGTGAGGCAAGAGGACGGATGCGTGGAAAAAAAGGTGCGGATATTGCAGGGGCAACCACGTTGAATCCTTTTGCCGATCATTCTTTGTCGATTGATACCTTTTCTAGGGCGGCTGTAAGAGCGTTCGCCGACATGGCACGCATGCCGTGTGGTGGACGCGTCGGCAAGTTCGCCACCAATGTTGAGCACGCATTTGGCCTTTGCGGCGCTCTCGCTGCGAGACCGGAGGAGCAAGCTTTTAGGCATTTTGCAAGCGCGCGCGCAAGACTAGCCGTGGAATAGGATGCAATTGGACTTGAAAAGGTGTCGATCGGCTGGGGTGGGAGAGCCAAGGCAAAGAGGGCTTAAAGGGGAAGGGAAGTGTTAGTGTACTGCCAACGGCACATTTCGGGGTACCATGGTCGATTTGAGAATGGGCGGGGGCCATGATTCGGGCCTGTGTTGCAGACGACGGGCAGTCTTGCAGATGGGGTGTTTTACTCGACCAAGTTGGTCTTGCCCTTCGCCCTTCTCGAAAAGCCCCTCTCGGCTGGCTTCCTGAGACGGAGCCTGCCGGACGGCCAGGGGGGCCGCGCAATCATGGATGATCAACAAGCGATCAACTTTGCAGATCGAGAGGGCGCATGTAGGGGACCCTTTTTGTCTGGCGGAGTGGCAGGTTGAGGCGGTAGATGCAGCCAAGGAGCAGGCGGGCAGGCAATCAATATTCAACGGCAGGCCGCAACAGGCGACGGGTGTGACGAGGGAGGAGGGAAGAGGCGAGAAAGTGAGGGAAGAGGGAGGGAGACAGGGCCGAGTGGCGCATGGTGGAAGGAGCCGAGGCGGGCTGAGATTGGTGGTCTGGCAGGCGGAGGATAGGACGTGCCAAGGCGTGTATCAGAAACATGGCAGCTGTGCTTGAGACGTGCGGCGAACGCCTCGTAGGGCTCCGGATGCGCGCGTGCTAGGCGACGGGCAGAGTCAACTCGCCGTGGCAACGAGCAGCGCCGTGCCGGTCTAGACGAGCGGTTCGGCAGTTGGGGGGCTCATTTGGGGCCCTTTGGGTGCTAGCAGGTAGGGCCTGGTCACCGCCTCGGCACCAGGCTGACCCGTGGTCGTCTTAGTGGTGGTGATGCCGTGTGTGAGCAAGCGTGGACGGCTACTAGTGTGTATAGTACTAAAAGTACGCAGGAAATTAAAACTAGGAGAAAAGTGGGCATGGCAAGGCACGTTTATGACAGGGCATGGCATAGTATGGCAGTGGGGCGCGCTCGGGACGGGTGTGGACAGGCCAAACGTGGGGAAAACACGTTTTGCAGGTGGTACTTGTACGTACCGGACGACGTACAAGTGTCCATGTACTACATGAGTAGAGCAGTAGACAGTGCGTAGTTGCAATTATAGCGTGCGCACGTACATTTACTAGACGTGTAATCTTCATGTATTTATTAGATGGTAATACTTTGTTACAGTACTCTAGTCCCTACGTAGTAGTAATACACGGTAGTTACTTGGTCGGCACTGGCACTGGCAGGCCCAGGGATCGCCTCGGCCAGCGGTACGAGCGAGCCCAAAGGCTATTCTGGCGCTTGCATCTGCATCCATCTGCATCTGCATCTGCATCGGCACTGCGCAGGGCCGGTCCACGGCGGGCTCATGCTCAGAAGACGCACAGGGGAGCATGCGTCCAGTCTATTATGGGATGGCCGATGGGGGGAATGGGACGACGCCATCGAGGCCGCCAATCTCAGCTTTGTACGCTTGCTTGCTTGACACACTCTCACACTCACACTGCATTACGTCGGGGTGACACGGGTGGGGCTCGGTGGCTTGACGTCTGTGGCGCACCCGCCGTTGAAACTCTGTGGCTGGGGCTGTGGCTGGGGCTCCTCCGTTGAACCACTGCCATTGCCACGCCCACGGCCACCATGCTCATTCGATCCAGAAAAAAAACCCGCCCACGCACCCGCCCACGCACCCGCTCTCCCGCTGCCCCTGGACTGACACAGGCACCGCGCCATGGGCCCTCTCGCCTGGCTGGCCGCGCGACACCTGCGCCGTTGGCTGACGCATTCCCTTCCCGTCCAATGCTCGCCTTGCAGCCGGGACCTGCCATGCCCATGTCTTGGCCGGGGCGACAGGCGGTAACGAAAAGCCTTCAATTCCCACATGCAGGTCGACCCCTGCTGAAATCTCGCCGAAGACGCCTGCCATGGGCGTTTTGGGAGAAGCGTTGTGGACCGCTGGCACTTTAGGCACGAACCGATCATCTTCTGGAACATGAGGCTTCGACAAGTCCCGACTGTCTGCTCCTCCCAAGCCTGTCTGCCCGGATCGGCGCCCGACTTGACCACGGAGATGGCATCCCGTGTAGTCCTAGAGCCTCGACTTGTGCTTTCGCGTCGTCCCGTATCCAGCAAGCGCCTCCAGCTGTACCCGCTTTACGGAGCCATTGGGCTGTCGTCACGAAACACAGGCACGCACGCTTGCATGCCACCCATTGCCCCACCCGCTGACCCAGGCCCAGGGAATATATCTCTCGACTTTGGTGGCACTCGAGACCCGCAAAAAGCTTCCTTGCCTCTTGTGCTCTGCATACTCACTTACGCAAAAACTACCCTCCTACTGGCCATTACCCCTACGTCAGCTGCTCCAAAACAGCACCGTGTTTCTCTTTTTTGCTGCCGCACTACCACACTAGTCAACCATCCGGGAAAGCAAGACAAGGGCCACCGAGCCTCCGTCCCCCCCCTCCCATCTTGCCCTATTGCTATTACTATTACTCTACTCTCAACAGCCACCCACGACTGCCAGGGCCCTTTTGCATGTGTTGCCGCGGACCTGCCTCTGCCCTCTCTGCCTTTTGCCAATTCTCCCTCTCCCCTTGTCCTCCCCCCAACCCCCCAACCCCCAGTTACTCCCAGCGTTTGGAGTAGTAGCCAATATCCACCAGTACCGCGGCCATTAAACCTTGTTGCCAGCTCGCCGCGCTCCGAAGGTGTGCCAGGGTCTCCACCACTACTATCCAGACTGGGGCTAATCAACTGTGCAGCATCACCACCACCTCCAACATTGCTTCCTACAGAGGCGTCGGTCAAATCCACTTCTCGCCTGGCCTGGTCCCCC